GTGTTCGCCTCTCAGGACGTCACGTTTGACGAGCCGGTCCCGTTCTACCGCCTCTTTCCCTACCGCACTGCCCCTCTCCCCCCGCCGCCCCTCTTCCTCGCTCCAGGTTCCCCTCCTGTAGACCCCCCCCCCCCCCCCCCCCTCAGGGTCCTGCTCCTTCAGGTGTGTCTCAGGTAGACCCGCCTCCCTTGCCTGAGCCTGTCGAGGTCACTGGTGACTCAGGTGCCGCTGAGGGTGGTGCTGGTCGGGGTGCTGCGTCTAGGGGTGTTGAACCTGTGAGTGTGGAGCCTGAGGGTGTTGTGCCTGGGGGTGCTGAGCCTGGGGGTGCTACGCCAGAGCGGGAGGAGCCTAGGGGTGCTGAGCCTACGGGTGCTACTTCTGGGGGTGCTGAGCCTGGTGGTGCTACATCTACTGGTCCTGGAGGTTCTCCTAGGGCCTCGCCCCAGCAGTCTAGCCGGCGGGAGCCTCTCTCACCACAGCAGCTGCGCGAGTGGTACACTCAGCGCTACTGCCTTCCGCGTGGAGCTGCTGGAGCTGGAGGCCCTGGAGCTACTAGTACCGGAGGAGCTGGCGCTGCTGGTCCCGGAGGTGCTGGTACTGGTGGTACTAGAGCTGCCGGAGCTGGTGGTGCTGCTGGTGCTGGAGGTGCTGGTGGTGCTAGCACTGCTGGTTCCGGAGGTGCTCGTGCTGCGGAGCCTGGGGGTGCTGAGCCTTCGAGTGCGGAGCCTAGGGGTGCTGAGCCTGAGCGTGCGGAGCCTGGGGGTGCTGCGTCTAGGGGTGCTGCACCTAGGGGTACTGCGTCTCCCCTCCGGGAGCCTCTCTCCCCTCAGCAGCTGCGCGAGTGGTACGCTAGCCGCGGTCGCCTTCGGAGTGCCGCTGCTGGAGCTAGTGGCCCTGGAGCTGGAGACGCTGGTGCTGGAGGTACCGGAGGAGCTGGAGCTAGTGGTCCTGGAGGCGCTGGTGCTGGAGACGCTGGAGCTGGAGACACTGGAGCTGGTGGTGCTGGAGCTGGAGGCACTGGAGCTGGAGGTACCGGAGGAGCTGGAGCTAGTGGTCCTGGAGGCGCTGGTGCTGGAGACGCTGGAGCTGGAGACACTGGAGCTGGTGGTGCTGGAGCTGGAGGCACTGGAGCTCGTGGCACTGGAGCTGGAGGCGCTGGAGCTGGAGGCCCTGTGCAGCAGCGACCGTTCTTCGAGCCGCCACCGCAATTGTCTGAGCTTCCGCCCGAGTCGGCTCTCCGCCAGGTTCTTGGTCTTCCTTCGTCCACTGCCCTTCCTCCTGGCTCGTCGCTGCCTGTCCCATCCCGCTACACTGAGCAGTCTGTCTCCCTTACAGAGCGTCGTGAGCCTGCGTCTCGTCCTGCCTCCCCTGTTCGCGCTGTTCGCACCGCTCGTCGTGTCCCGCGTCCGCGTCCTCCTCCTGTGCCAGGCACTCACACTATGGCACTTCGTCCCTCCTCTGCTCCACAGCGCGTCCCTCTGCCTTCTCCTCCTGCGTCCTCTCTTTTTGAGCTTCTTGACCCTGAGTCTAACGTTGTTCGTGCTGCTAACCCCACAGTCACACGTCTTTTGGCTACTGTTGTCACTGACCCGTCGTTTGAGTCCACTGCTGCGTCTGCCTTAGTTGCTGAGCTTGTTGACTTTGCTGCTGCGTGTCGTCTAGACTACGCCGCCAGTCTTGTTGCAGAGTCTGAGTCTGTCTGTCCTCCGTCTGTCGGGGGTGAGTGTGCTCTTGGCACGGACGTCCTTGAGGACAAGCAGGAGGACTTTGAGTGTCTTGCGGCTGTTGTACCTCATCTCGTGGCCTGGCTGCTTGCACCTGAGGGAGACCTGGATGCACTGGACATCCCGACCCCGCGCTCTTACGCAGAGGCGATCTCGGGTCCCTACTCCTCTCAGTGGCAGATAGCCATGGACGCAGAGATGGCATCCTGGAAGTCCACAGGCACCTACGTTGACGAGGTTCCCCCTCCTGGGGCGAACGTAGTCGATGGCATGTGGATTTTCAGGGTGAAGCGGCCACCGGGTTCTCCGCCTGTCTTCAAGGCTCGTTACGTTGCACGAGGCTTCAGTCAGCGGCAGGGAGTTGACTTCTTCCATACCTTCTCCCCTACCCCAAAGATGACCACTCTTCGGGTACTGCTGCACGTTGCCGCTCAGCGTGACTACGAGCTTCACTCTCTTGACTTCAGCACAGCGTTCTTGCAGGGCAGCCTGCACAAGGAGATCTGGCTGCGCCGCCCACCTGGCTTCACTAGGTCGTTCCCTCCTGGTACCCAGTGGAGCCTCCGGCGGCCAGTCTACGATCTCCGCCAGGCGCCTCGTGAGTGGCACGACACACTGAGGACGACACTTGCGGCTCTTGGGTTTGCTCCTTCGACTGCTGACCCGTCGCTGTTTCTGCGTACCGACACTTCGCTGCCGCCGTTCTACATCTTCGTGTACGTCGACGACTTGGTCTTTGCCACTGCTGACACTGAGGCACTCGCCCTTGTGAAGTCGGAGTTGCAGAAGAGACACACGTGCACAGACCTGGGTGAGCTGCGCAGCTACCTTGGCCTGCAGATCACCCGGGACAGAGCACAGCGCACCATTACCCTGACTCAGTCACACATGGTGCAGCAGGTCCTTCAGCGCTTCGGCTTCCAGTTCTCCTCACCACAGTCCACTCCTCTGTCTACCGGTCACTCGCTCTCAGCTCCACCTTCGGACAAGTCCGTAGAGCCGAGTGGCCCGTACCCAGAGCTTGTGGGCTACCTCATGTACCTGATGACCTGCACTCGACCTGACCTTGCGTACCCTCTTAGCATCCTTGCTCGTTACGTTGCGCCTGGGAGACACCGACGAGAGCACTGGGAGGCTGCTAAGAGGGTGCTGCGCTACTTGTTCAGTACAGAAGGCATGGGGCTGGTGCTTGGAGGACGGGGTGACGTTGTCCTCACTGGACACTCAGACGCCTCTTGGGTTGACGACCTGGCTACACAGCGGTCGTCACAGGGTTACACCTTCAGTCTTGGTTCCGGCTCTGTCTCTTGGCGGTCCACTCGCTCTTCTTCTGTTCTCAGCTCCAGTTGTGAGGCTGAGATCTACGCCACAGCCATGGCTGCACAGGAGCTTCGCTGGCTCACCTACCTGCTGACTAACTTGGGAGAGCGGCCTCGTTCTCCTCCAGTTCTGTACGGCGACAACAAGGCGGCCCTCGCCTTGTGTCAGGAGCACAGACTGGAGCACAGAACGAAGCACATCGCTCTGCGTTACTTCCTTGCTCGAGAGCTACAGCAGCGTGGCCAGCTTCGTCTTGCTTACGTGGACACGCGGGCCAACACAGCTGATATATTCACCAAGGCACTTCCGCCTAGTGATCATCAGCGTCACTGCACTGCTCTAGGCCTCGTGCCTACGTTCTCTCACTTGCTTACTGCTTGACCTTGCTTGTACTGTGATCTATATATATCTGTCCTTGCATGTTTATCTTTGCTAGGTTGTAATCACTGTACTGCTTGCTTTGTTCTATATACCCCTGCATGTGAACTGGCCTTTTGGCCCTTTGCCTGTGCTCGGAGTGTGTGGTGACGTTGTGATCCACCCTGAGCTTGCTTTTCTTGATTGGTCTTGTGACCCCTTGTTCTCCCCCACTTTGCCTATGGGGGTGTGTCAAACTATATGTGTTATTTCTGTGTAGGCTGTAGTGGGGTAGCCCATATGGGGTACAACCCAAAGTTATGGTTATACTTGTACCCACGTTTCATGCAATGCATTCATTCCTGCTTCTAGATTTCAAGACTCTACACCACTCGAGCCAGCACGAGGAGGTGGGGGGCGTGAGAATAGAGCATCGCCTGGTGTGAGAGAATCAGGTGCGGTCCAGTTCCCTCCCGCAGCAGCAGTAGCAAGGGACCAAGTCGGTGCTCCTGCTGTTGCCGCTGCCGCTGCTGCAGCAGAAGACTAGAATCCCCCTGCAACCCCTCCCGCTGCTCCTCCCGCTGTTCCGAACCCCAAACTGTCGTCGTCTGAGGTTTGGGCAACGGAGAACTCCCGAGGGGGGACGATTTGGATGGGTGGGTCTTTGGTGGTGGGGGCGAGTGTCTGGAAGGGGTCTTCGGAGGCCTGGGTGTTGGCGAAGAGGGCGTTGAAGTGTGCTGCGTGCAGCATGTTGTGGCGCTTCAGCTGCACCTCCTCCTTCTGCAGCCATCGGTTCCATTGTTTGAGGAGGGCTGCCAACGTAGGCCGGCCGTGGGACTGGGAGGGAAAGGGGGGAGAATAGGAGGTGGGAGAGGAGGAACGGACGTAGGGTGGACTGACCGTGGGACTAGGGAGAAGAAGAATAGGGGAAATGGAAACAGGAGAGGGAGTGTTAGAGAGAGAACGTGAGAGACAGATGCACCTCCTCCTTGTGCAGCCATCCATTCCAATGCTTCAGGGACGGGCGGATGCAAAGCGCAGTGCGCCAGGCGCGCGCGTTAGGGACGACAGGGGGTGGGGTTGGGGGGGAGGGCGGGGGGAGGTTGCAGGGCGCGTGCGGTAGGCAACGGAACGACGGACGAAGGGCGCGCTACGGGACGGAAAACGGTATGTGGCGGCACTAGGGTCCTAGGGTACGAACCTAACGGATACCATCTTAGAATGGGAAAAGTGTGATCGATTAGAGTTGGTTGGGGTACAAACAAAGGCTCAACCCTAAGGTTGCACCCCATATGACACACCTCACTACAGTCTAACATATTTGACACCTTGGTAGAGGAAAAGGCCTACACAAGTTGCAAAAACGCATGGCATGTTTTATTGATAAAAAATAATCTTGTATCTGTGTGTCATTATGTGCCATATATTAGACCAGAATATACATGTTGGAGCATCACTTGTTGATTTTATACTCTAGCTTTGGTAAAAAATTAGCGAAATGCGCAAAACATGCAACACACCAATCGACCGTATCTGTTGCTGATATCGAAATTCCTTACAGCTGAGTTGTGCATAAAAATTGGTGCAAACGCAAACCCAATGTGCGGTGCGTGCGCAAGTTGCGCGCAATAATTTAGTCGGCCGCACATCCCGCAAGACTGGTGAGTGAATGGTAATTGCGCGCAGCCACCTCCCAGCTTTCATCGAACCTCTGAAAAACCTCTCAACCACTTTGTAAAGCTAAATACCTCGCCTTTGCCGGTAGTTTTTTTCGACCCCCCCCAGAATTGCGAGCTTGCTTCACCGCGACTAGAGCGTCAGCCAAACTTGGGTGGCCTGGCCAAGTTACTACCCAATGATCAGCGCCACATCCGACGCTACAACGCCAGCAATAAACCGAGGCGCTACGAGAAGCATGGCGCCGAACCGCCTCATCCGATTTCGAGCATCAGTATGCCGGCAAAGCAAGCAATCGGCACTCACGCCGCGGCTTAGGATATTTAAGGCGGCGGGAGTTTGGAAACAACTCATTCAGCTCCAGTAGTATAATTAGTAACAGCAGTACAACCGAATCAGTTCAGCAGTAATCAGTACAACTCATTCAGCTCCGGTAATCAGTACAATTTCCCTCAAAAGCTTCTCTTCCAGCAGAAATAGTGGCAATATCGAACTCTAGAGTCATGGGTGCGCTTCGCCCGCGCCTTATTCTCGCCCTTGCCCTTGTCGCATCTCTGAACCTCATTTCAGCTTTCGCGGCGCTGCCTCGTGATGGTTACTACGCCGCCAACGAGCCCGCACTCGACGACCCGCGCGCGCTTCTCGAGGCCGACAACGATGCCTCACATGACTCCGTTGACTCGGTTGACTTGGAGAGTCCGCGGGTGCTGCGCAATGTGGCGACGGACTTGAAGCGGTCGTCGGACGACCTGAGCGGCGCCGTGAAGGATTCCATCGGGCAGGCGGGGAGGAACGTGCAGAATTCGTTCGACAGAACGTTCCGCACTGGCAAGTTCGCGGCGCCCAAGCGCCACGGCGGGAGGAAGCACCCGCGGGGAGGCGCTCCTAAGCGCAAACCGCCCGCCGCCCCCAAGCTTCCAGCTGCGCCCGCTGTTAAAACGCCAGCCGGTGCGAAGGAAACCAAGCAGGCGCCTCGAGATAAGGCCAACTCGGGTGCAGCCCCCACGACTCCCGCTGCTCCCACTGCTGCTCCCGCTGCCGGCAAGCCAGCCCCTAAAACGAAGCCGGTGAAGGGCAACGCGGGTGCTGTCCCCAAGGCGCCTGTTCCCGCTGCTGGCGCGCCGGGTGTTCCGCCTAAGCAGGCGGGAGCTGCAGACAGCGCGGGCGCAGCCCCCAAGCTGCCCACCGCTCCCGCTGCTGCTGGCACGCCGGGTGTTCCGCCGAAGCTGGAGGGAGCTAAAGAGAACCCTGGCGGCGCAGCCAGCCAGCCACGGGTTTTGACTGAGGATGGTGATGACGTGGAGAACAGCGCTGACTTGGTTGACTCCGTTGACTCGATTGACCCGGTTGACTCGGCTGAATCTGTTGACTCGGTTGACTTGGAGAACCCGCGGGTGCTGCGTAATGTGGCGGCGGACTTGAAGCAGTCGTTTGATGATTTCAGCGGTGCCGTGAAGGATTCAATCGGGCGGGCGGGGAGGAACGTGCAGAATTCGTTCGATCAAACGTTCCGCACTGGCAAGTTCGCGCCCAAGCCGCGCCGCGGCGGGAGGAAACACAAGCGGGGAGGCGCTCCCCCTAAGCGCAACCCGGCCGCCGCCCCCAAAACGCTCACTGTCCCCAAAACGCTCACTGTCCCCAAGACGCCCACTGTCCCCAAGACGCCCACTGTCCCCAAGATGCCCACTGTCCCCAAGACGCCCACTGTCCCCAAGACGCCCACTGCCCGCAAGCCGCCCACTGCCCGCAAGCCGCCCACTGCTCCCGCTGCTGGCATGGCGGCCGTTCCGAAGCGCACCGCGGGCGATACGGGCAACGCAGGCGCAGAATCCAAGCCTCTTACTGCTCCCACTGCTGGCATGGCGGGTCCCGCGGGCGATAAGGGCATGGCGAGTCCCGCAGGCGATAAGGGCATGGCAGGCGCAGAATCCAAGCCGCTCACTGCCCCCGCTGCTGGAATGGCGGGTCCCGCGGGAGATAAGGGCTACGCGGGCGCAGAACCCAAGCCGCTCACTGCTCCCACTGCTGGCACGGCGGCGGCTGGGAAATAGAACGGGTTGGGGGGCGTGATGTACGCTGTGGCATTAACAGGGGCACAGCACAGCGGGCCCTTGGGAGTAACGCTGGGGCAGGGCGTTTGAATCAGGAGGTTCTGCTCTGCGCTTTCAGACGCCCCTCTGGTGCAAGGGGGGGGGTTGACCTTTGGGCCGGCTCCGAAGCCGTAGGAGCAGGGTTGAAAGGGCGCATTGTGGTGGGGGGGGGGGGGGGATACTCTGGTGTGTGGGGAGAGGAGGTCTGCAAAGGGTGCTCCTTCCGAGCCGATGAATGTCGGGCTTAGGGGGAATGTAGTTGTGCTGTGGAGTGTGTGTGTGTTTGTGTTGCTGCAGGGTGTGAAGGGGCCGCAGTGTGGTGTGGTTGCCAAGAGATGGAAGGGGCAATATGGGCTGCAAGGAATAGAGCGGAGGAGGGATGCTTGCTGTCTCTCACTGCTTTTTAGTTCCTTTTTCTCCTGGGTGCTTTTTCCTAGAGGTTTGATGCTGTATTTGAGGTGACTTTTGAGTCGACTCAAAAGTCACCTTTTTCTAGAGGTTTGATGCTGTATTTGGTGGGCTGTTAATGATAAAGCTTCTATTCCTTCTTTGCTCTTCCTTCCTTCCCAAGATCCATTCACCGTATCAGTTTGCAACTCTTAATCTTTTCTTCTCTTGAGTAGAATGGTACTGTAGTTGCTGGTACCAACAAACTCCCACACTACCCCATAGGCATTCAGAGATTCAGTAGCTTTATTATTCAGTAATTCAATCCCAAAATTCATAGGCCTCCCCTCCCACACGTGTCAATCACGAATTACACTCAAGACAAAGTGCCGTCCAGAGCCGCCCGCATGCGCTAATTGCCGCCCAACGCCGCCCATTCCAGATCGGCCATAGTAGGCCCCACACCTCCTCCTCCTCTCCCTCCCTCCGCCTGACTCCCTGCACTCCCCTTCCCCTTCCCTTGCTCCTTGCTCCCACTCCCCCTCTCACTCCCCTGAACCACTGCCGTCACCCCTCCACCTCCTGCTCCTCCTCCTGCCAATCCCACCCCAGCCGCTGCCGGAGCAGCAGCAAATTCCCTCTCAAACTGGCTGAAATCCACAGGCACAGCAATGGTCGCTGGCCCACGCTTCGGCTCGCCTGCCCCTTCCAGCACCGAAAGGTCAAGTGGGGCAGACATGCCCTCTACACCACTGGAGCCAGCACGAGGGGGGCGCGAGAACAAAGCATCGTCTGGTGTGAGAGATTCAGGTGCGGTCCAGTTCCCTCCCGCAGCAGCAGTGGCAAGAGACCAAGTCGGTGCTCCTGCTGTTGCCGCTGCCGCTGCTGCAGCAGCAGAAGTTTGGAACCCCCCTGCAACCCCTCCCGCTGCTCCTCCCACTATTTCGAACCCTAAACTGCCGTTGTCTGAGGTTTGGGCAACGGAGAATTCCCGAGGGGGGACGATTTGGATGGGCGGGTCTTTGGTGGTGGGGGCGAGGGTCTGGAAAGGGTCTTCGGAGGCTTGGGTGTTGGCAAAGAGAGTGTTGAAGTGCGCTATGTGCAGCATGTTGTGGCGCTTCAGCTGCACCTCCTCCTTCTCTAACCATCGATTCCATTGCTTCAGGAGGGCCGCGAGCGTGGGGCGGCCGTGGGACTGTGGAGAGGGGAAAGAGGAAAGGAAAGGAAGAACAAGAGAGTCAAAGTGAGGGAGGGGGATGCACCTCCTCGTATTGCAACCATTTGTTCCATTGCTTTAGGAGAGAGGCTAGGGTGGGCCAGCTGCGGGACTGGGGGATCACAGAGCATCGCCAACCTCCCCCGTCCACAGCAGTGTGGGCGAGGTCTCCGGCAAGGAGACACGGGGCCGGAGGTTGAGCTGATGCGCAGCGTACCAGACTGCAAACGGCCACAGAAAATGGGGAGCAGCCGCATGGATCATGGAGGTACGAGCGATGCGGCGCTCAGCAACCCCATTCTGCTGCGGTGAGGCCGGAAGCGTGAACGACTGGAGGATGCCCTCCCCCTGACAAAAGTCCCGCAAGAGGTCGGAGGAGAACTCACCACCTCTGTCAGAGTGCAGACGCAGGACGGGAAGGTCCGTGCAAAACCGCTCGCGGAGCTGGAGACGAACAGTGCGGATCCAAGGGATCAAAACAGCAGGGACCTCACCCTTGCTGTGCAAGGGGAAGACCGTGGTGTAACGCGAGTAGTCGTCGACAACCAGCAGAAAGTACCGCTCGCGGCCCTGTCCAGTGACGCGAGCTGGGCCCCACACGTCCATGTGGAGAGTCTGCAGAGGAGCAGTCGTCGGGGGAAATGAGGAGGAGTGAGGAGCGGCACGCTGCCGCCCCTCGACGCAAGGATTCAGGGCGGGGCAGGCGAGGGTGGGAGGGAAGGAAGAGACCTGGGAAGACCAGTGACAAGGAGGCGGGAGTGCATGCCACGAAGGCGTGGAAGGGAAGGGTGACCAAGGCGGTGGTGCCAAAGGAGAGTCTGGTGCGATAGGTGACGACACTCGCAGGGGGGAGCTACCTGACCTGACACGGCCAGCTGACCAGACGCAGTAGCCTGAGGAGGCTTAATAGTCAGTGTGTACAGACTCGACCCGGGCCCACGAGTGAACGTGGCCAGGTGACGGCCAGTCCGGGAGCACGTGCAGATCGCCACACGCTGGCCTCCAGGACTGCGTTACTCACCAAGTTCGTCGAGAATGAGGGGAGGTGGAGACCAAACAGTGAGCCAGACGGAACCACCGGATACGGGAGAACAGTGGAGGAACGTGCAAGAACTGGGCCCCCAGAGGGGTCAGCCAGTGAGACTGCAACGGGTCTAGGGAGTGGTGTGACTGTGGTACTGTCGCGAAAGAAGCAGCGAGAGGCACCTGAGTCAAGCGTGAAGGTGGGCAAGGCCTCAGCAGGTGCAGTACCAGAGAGAGCAGACTCACTAGCACCTAGAGCAGCAGCCCCTATACCAGGGTCGGGTGGCACACAGGCACCTGAGTCAAGCGTGAAGGTGGGCAAGGCCTCAGCAGGCGCAGTACCAGAGAGAGCAGACTCACTAGCACCTAGAGCAGCAGCCGCTATACCTGGGTCGGGCGGCACACACAGGTAGCAGTCACCCTCAGTACCAACAGTCAAAGCATACATGGCAGTGAGGATAGCGTCATAGTCTAGAGCAAATATATCCACATTGTTCCGAAGCAGCTCTAGCCAGCGGGGGAGCTCAGCCTCGTCGCCAAACTCTGCTCGCCAGGCGTCGCTCAGATAGGAGAAGCAGCGAGACTATGGGTAGCCATGTGTCTCGCAAGTCTGACCAGCCTGATCACTTGTGAGAATGACGTACGGGCATCTACTCCGATACGTCCCACGCTGAAAAAGCCACTCACGAAGCTGCTGAGGCGTAAGGGTCTCGCGCAGACGCTGGGCTGTCACCGAATATGCACGGTTGTGCATATAAGGTGCCAGTTAGGCTGAGGTGTTGTTCTGGTGTAGCAATGTTGAGTATGCACATTCAAGGGTAGGTAGTTGGGGACCAGGGAAATAGACGCAAAGGTGGTAGGAGAGCACCGAGGGGTGGAATCCAAGCAACCAATGGGAACGAACCAACCCAGGCTCGAGCCGCACATTGAGAAATGCACGGTTCGAGCCTGGGCCAAGTAAATTCACTCTCTCACACACACCCGATGCTTTCTGCTTGTTATCCTTTCGTATAGTGGAACGTTGTTATCTTAAGCATGCAGCCAGGTGGCACACCACTCAGGGAGGACCTCTGAGGTGAGAGTAAGATTTCTTTCATAACAAGCAGAAAGGTGCGCGTACAAGCATGGATGTGTACGAGTTGCGGTATGGTAGGAACTACGGTCGCCGTGAGGAGCATCGCTCGCGGCGCGAACGCTCTCGTGAGCGCGGGCGTTCGTTGGAGAGGTCGCCGCGCAGGTCTGAGCGGTCGCCGCGGAGGCCGGCCTTTCGCGTGGATACAGTTCCTTTCGCGCCAGATCGGCGGGAGGAAGGAGCCGCACGAGACGGAAGAGGCGGATCTGAGTCCGCCAGGATGGGGAGTGACCCGTGGCGCGCGCCACGGAGCTGGTGACGATCATGGGTATCGCCAGGACACGGGAGTGTATCGCTCGCCGGAATATGGCTATCGCCGTCGCGAAGATCGGAGTCGCGGGCGTGGCCTGTAGGAATTGTTCTCTGGTCGGCAGGGAGACCTCAATGTTGACGGGGAGGACGAGGCCGACACGGCGAATAAGGCGCATGAGCCGAATTGCGAAGGCGAGGCGAAGGGCGATGACGAAGCCCAGGAGGAAGGCGCAGGCGAGCAGCGCGATATGCCCGCTGGAGTCAACGGAGCCGATCCTGCGCAGGCTGGCGTGGCGGCGGAGCCGAGCGCGGCGGAGGCAGACGGAAAAAGTGGTGCTCGAAACCAGCCGCGCGGCGGAGAGAAGAACGACGGCGGGAGGCGTAGCGGTGGCTCGCGCTCACCGGATTTGCGTAAGCAGCGTGACGAGAGACGCGGAGGCGAGGTGCGCGTGTCAGATCTGCGACAGCATCGTGACGTGGGGCGCGGCGACGGCGTGCGCTCGCCAGACCCGCGACAGCATCGTGACGGGGGGCGCGGCGGCGGCGCGCGCTCGCCAGATCTGCGGCAGCTGCATGACGAGAGGCGCGGAGGAGGCTACCGCTCGCCAGATCCGCGGCCGCTGCATGACGGGAGGCACGGGGGAGGCTATCGCTCGCCAGATCTGCGGCCGCTGCATGACGAGGGGCGCGGAGGAGGCTACCGCTCGCCAGATCCGCGGCCGCTGCATGACGAGAGGCGCGGAGGAGGCTACCGCTTGCCAGACCCGCGGCAGCACAGTGACAGAGGGCGCGGGGGCAGCGCGCACTCGCCAGATCCGCGGCGGTGTCACGGCGGGAGGAGCGGAGGGGGCTCGCGCTCACCAGATCCGCATCACTATCGTGAGGAGAGACGCGGAGGTGGCTTTCGCTCGCCTGACACGCAACGGTACCGTGGAGAGAGGTGGGGAGGCGAGGCGCGCTCGCCTGACTGGCGCCAGCAACATGAGGAAAGCCGGGGAGGCGGATACCGCTCGCCGCATCGGCAACGAAGCAGGGATGAAAGGCGCGGCGGTGGGTCTCGCTCGCCTGGTCGGTATTGGCAGCGCGACGGAAGACGTGCCGGTGAGGGAGGGCAGGATCCACACGGCAGCAGGGAGGGAGGCAGCGGGGCGAGACGTGGGGGGAAGGACGGGGAAGCACAGCCATGGTCACGACGGTGGAAGTGCCAGCGCGCTTCTCGGGAGACCAGCGCATGGGGCCCACACTTAAGAACTACTTGATGCAAGTAGGGAATGTGCGGTACAGATGCGACAGGAGCGGCATGGACTCAGTGGACTTCTTCTTTAGTCTGCCGAATACATTGGAAGGGGAGGCAGAGACACTATACAGGATGAAGATGGATGGGCTACTGGAGAGGGCAGGAAGGTACGGGGAAGACCCAACGGAAGCATTCCTGAAGCGGCTGCAGTGGCAGTTTCTAGGGCACACCGCAGAGAAGATAAGGGAATTCCAAGATTTCAGGAAGGGGCGGGGTGAGTCGCTGCTCACCTACTACAACCGGCTGGTCAACCTGGCGGAGGATGTGACATGTGCGGACATGGGCCTTCTCGTGAGTAAATTCCTGGACGGGCTGGAGGGCACTTTGGGAAGTGGGCTGCGGATGAAGGTGTATGAGATGGGGGCGGACACGACACTGGATGAAGTGTTTGAGATGGCAAAGAAAATGGAGCTGGCATAGAGGAAATATGAAGCATACCGGCCCCGACCAGCGGAGCGAGGCAGGGAACCAACGTGGGCAGCAGCCATGATACCGGAGGAAAAGGACAGTGCAGCAGGTAGAGGGGAGAATAGGCCAGACACGTGGACGTGCCACAGATGCGGGCAGCCAGGACACCTTCGCAGAGACTGCAAGAACTGTGACTCCTGTGGCAAGCCAGGACACCGGCGGCGGGAATGTCCAACGGCGTCAAAGTGTGAAATCTGTGGGAAGGGAGGGCACACAACAAAAGAGTGCTACCAGCGGGAGGGAATGACGAAGAAGACGCCAGAGGATCTGGAGAAGCAGATCAGCAGGTTGCAAGCCCAGCTGCAAGCAATGGGACCACGACGCGAAGCGGAAGCGGGGATGTACGCCAGGGATGAGGAGGAGGAAGATGTGGAGCAGGAAGAGAAAGCAACACTCCTGGCTTGGGGAGGAAGAGAAGAGAACGAGGTAGAACATGAGGAGCAACCAGCTTACATGGCATGGAGAGGAAGGGAAGAGATGGGGCTGCGTAGCGGAGGAAAGGATGCACGGAGAGAGCAGGTAAGGAAGGAACGGGAGAGAGGACAGAAACCAGAAGAAAAGGAGGAGAGAAGCACAGCTGCACGTTACCCACAGGAGAGGTTGGCGTGCCAGACCTCCGTGCTGCTGATCCAAGGCGGAGCGCTGACAGTGGAGGGGGAGAAGGCGAAGACGGCAATCATAGACACCGGAGCGCAGAGCGTGATACTAGGGAAGGGGATGGCCGAGAAGCTAGGACTGAGGGCATCAGACAGACACGTGGTGAAGGGGATGCTAGTAATGACTGCAGAGGGAGGAGAGTCAAAGTGGATGCCATGCACGAGGACTCCGATAGAACTAACAGTGCTGAAGGGGGAGAAACATGAAACGCCAGTCAGAATCAGGTGCGAGATTTCAGAGTCTGAAGATTTCGATGTACTGGTGGGCACAGAGATGATCTTCGCATTGGGCATGACCATCTGCTTCTAGAAAGAGACAGTGGAGTTTCGAACTAGGTGGTGGAGGAAAGGTGAACCGCTAGGGCAGCTGCCGGTGCAGTTTGTGAAGACAGAGCCGAAGAGGGCCTACCGTGCAGATCAGCAGGAGGTGACAGCGGAGCAGGGGGCATTAGAGAGCGCGTCTGGCAAAGGAAAAGGCGGGGAGCCTAGGATGCGCCTCATGGATGAGACTAGCCAACAAACCGATTGGCAGCAATCAATCCGGCTGGTGGAGCTGTTCGGGGGAATAGGGGCGGGACTGGCAGCAGTTGTGCGAAACGGAATAGCAGTAAAACAATGGATTTACGTGGAGCAGGCACCGGAAGTGAGGAAAATAGCGGAGCATAATGCGTGGGAGCTGCATAGAGAGTTTTCGGAGCTGCTGAAGGAAGAAGTGGTCAGGGCAGCAATGAGCAGAGGAGTGAATGATGTGAGGGCAATCACGGAAGCTGAAGTGGCAAGCTGGGGGCACGTGGACCTGCTGGTGGCAGGGTGGGAATGCCAAGGGGTATCATGGGCAGGGAAGGGCAAGGGTGAGCAAGACCCTAGGACCAAACTGATGGAGGAGCTGTTCAAGATTATGGAGTGGGTACAGGCTAGGCAGGGCAGATTGGCTTACCTGCTGGAGCACTTGGACATGGAAGGAGATGTCCGGGAACCAGTAAGGCTGGTGAGGGAGAGAGTAGCCAGACAGGTGGGCAAAGGGGTGAGCTGTGACGCGGCGCGGATGGGAGCATACGCACATCGGCTCAGGATGTACTGGCAGAATGTGGTACCAGTGGAAGACCTGCAGAGGGAGATAGAGGGAGTGCAGAGAGCAGGGGCGCGGAAGCTGAGCGACATACTGGAGACAGGAAGAACTCCAACACCAGTGAGAAAAAGGAGCTACAGCAGACATTACCCATGCAACCAGGTGGGGCAGGAGAGGCAGGCATTACCCACCCTGGTGTCATATGAGGGGGCAGCAGGATATCGGATGGATGGGGAACAGCCGGGCCTAGGACTGGTACATGACCATAGGAAGGGACAGTGGGAAGAACCCACGGCCTTGGAGAGGGAGCTGGCCATGGGGTACAGGGAGAACGCCACAGCAGCCCTTGGCGTGAGTGAGAAGGAGAGGAGGCGGGCAATGGGGAATGCTATGGATGGGTACATGATGAGATGGCTGGTGCAGCGGATGTGGAAAGAGACAGTGCTACACTGGGGACTGAAGGAGGGAGAAAACACAGTCGCAACAGTCAGACAAGGGGTGTGGTCCTGCCTGCAGAAAGAGGAGCCAGAGTGGAAGATAGGTGAGGGCATGAGCGAGGAAGGGAAGGCAGCAATGCGAACACTGCTGGCCAAGCATCGGAAGGGCTTCGCCTTCACCCTGCAGGAGTTGGGGAAGTGCAAGATCAAAGAGATGGCACTGAAGCTGAGCAGTGATGAGCCGGTATTCCATCGCAAAAGGAAGATGCCACCAGGGGATGAAGAGATATGTAGGGAGAAAATCAAGGAGCTGCTGGAAGCCGGTCTAATTAGGAGGTCAGAGTCGGAATACGCCACCCCGACCGTAGTGGCAGCCAGGAAAGACTTGACCGGCGAGGTGCTGAATGTGTGGGGATTACAGGGATATTAACAAAATCACCATGCCGGACCGATATCCGATGCCGATGGCTGAAGAAATATTCGACAAGTTGGCCGATGGGGTGTTTTTCACCACGCTGGACCTGCGGCAGGGGTTCAACCAAATAAAAATCAGAGAAGAGGATGTGAAGAAAACAGCCTTTCACGGACCTGATGGGCTGTACGAGTGGCTGTACATTCCGTTTGGTCTAAGGAACGCCTCGGCAGTATTCCAGAGGGTCATGGATGCGGTGCTTCGGGGTATAGAACATGCAGCGTGTTATATCGATGACGTGGTGGTCTTCAGCCTCACCGAACAGCAGCACCTGGAGGATGTGGAGAGGACACTGAGTGCCATAGAGGGAGCAGGGCTCACCTGTCATCCCAACAAATGCAGATGGGGGGAGCAGACAGTGCAGTACCTGGGGTATGAGGTTAAAGGGGGGCAAATTGGGATCCAGCAAGCGAAGGCGCAGGTGCTGGACAGGCTGAGGGAACCAAGAGACAAGTCTGGGCTGCGGGCGGTCTTGGGCTTCCTCAGCTATTACAGACGCTTCGTGCCCAACTTCAGCAAGAGAGCGGCGGTGTTGAACGGGATGCTGCGGGAAGACAAGACATGGGAGTGGAGAGAGAAGCAGAGGGAGGCGCTGCAAGACCTGATGATCGCAGTAAAGACAGCGACAGTGCTGCGGCTGCCAGCAGCAGACCAGCCCTTCATCCTCTACACCGACTGGAGCAGTCAGGGGATAGGGGCCATACTTTGCCAGGAGATGGAGGGAGTGGAGAAGGTAGTGGCCTATGCCAGCACGAGCTGCAACCCGGCTGAAGCACAGTACAGCTCGTATATCGGGGAGGGGCTGGTGGCGGTATGGGCAGTGGGGCATTTCCGAGTATATCTACAGGGCAGAGAGTTCACCCTGGTCACTGACCATCAGCCCCTCACATGGCTGATGACCACACCGGGGCTGACGGGCAGGAACGCGAGGTGGGCAGTGAAGCTCCAGGAGTACGACTTCAAGGTAAGGCACAGGCCAGGAAAGACGCTGCAGCACGTCGATGGTCTCTCCCGCAACCCACCGCCACTGGAGACGGAACAGGAGGCACGGGAGACGGAACGGACAGAGCAGGAGCCAGCGCAAACCTTGATTTTGCTGGCAAGAGAGGTAGAGAAGAACGGTGCGAAGGGGAGTAAGGGGCCAGCCGACATCTGGCAGGATGCAAAGGCAATGGAATGGGTGAAAGGAGAGACTGAGGAAGATGAGACAGTGTCTGAGAGGGTGAGGGCACGGGGACATCACTACAGGTGGTATCAGCAGCAGCTGCAGAAAAAAAGAGGATGGCTGGAAGCTGGTGCCAGCGCCAAGGGAGCGTGAAGCAGTGATCATGGAAGTGCATACTAAGCTGGGGCATTTCGGACACGAGAGGACCGTACACCTGCTGAAGACGGGCTGGTGGTGGGAGGGGATGCGCCGACAAGTGAAAGAGTGGGTAGAGGGGTGCGAGGCATGTCAGAGGAGCAAGGCGAACCTCACTCAGGCCAAGGCAGAGCTGCAGTCACTGCCAATCTGTGGTTTGGGATTTCGATGGTCCCTGGACCTAGCGGGAGAGCTGCCGCTAAGCAGGAGCGGGAACCAGTACATAGTGCTCATGGTTGAGCATGTGAGCAAGTGGCTGGAGGTGAGAGCCATCCCTGCCAAGAATGCAAGGCACATTGCAGCGGCCTTCAAGGCGCAGATAGTGTGCCGATTTGGAGCGTGCGGAGAGGTGCTCACAGATCAGGGCACAGAGTTCCAGGGAGAGTTCAAGAAGCTGCTGCAGAAATCTGGCATCACGCACCGACGCACCTCCCGCTACCACCCGCAAAGCGACGGGCTGACTGAACGAATAGTACAGACCATCAAGCGAGGACTCCGGACCTACGGGGAGTAGAGAAAGAGGGATTGGGATGATGAGCTGGACTGGATAGCAGCTGGGTACAGATTCGGGAAGCAGGCAGCTCTGAGGGATCATTCCCCGTACAGCCTACTCTATGGACGAGAGCCAATTCTGCCAGTGGGGGCACCACGGGTATTGACAGACACAGTGACAGGGGGCACGATCAAAAACTGGGTTGCCTTGTCTGACGTAAGAGTGCGCTACATGCGCTTTATGATGCCAGCCGCACTGGAGAACCTGCACACCGCCCAGCTGCGAGATGCAAGGAGATACGAACAGAGGCAACGCAAGGGAGAGGGGAGAGTGGCGAGGGGTGTAAGTGAAGGGCAGGAAGTTTATCTGAAGAGAGCGAAGCAGGATACTCTGGATGTGGGATTGGGGACAGTGCGTTGGACAGTCAAGGAGGTGCGCCCCTCTGGGGTGTTGTTCCTGGAAAACGACAAGGGGGCGCAGCTGAAGGAGCACCAGACAAACACCGCTGTGATCAGAGGGACCGGGCCTCAGCGCAATGGTCCTGTGACCCGCGCTCGAGCAGCTCAAGCACGGGCACAGGAGGGGGCAGAGAGTGGCTGAGGCAACAGAAGAAGCTAAAGGGAGGAAGAGAAGCAGAATAAAGGCAGATGACCGGCAGAGCTGTTTCTCCGACAGCTGTCACCGAATATGCACGGTTGTGCATATAAGGTGCCAGTTAGGCTGAGGTGTAGTTCTGGTGTAGCAATGTTGAGTATGCACATTCAAGGGTAGGTAGTTGGGGACCAGGGAAATTGACGCGAAGGTGGTAGGAGAGCACCGAGGGGTGGAATCCAAGCCACCAATGGGAACGAACCAACCCAGGCTCGAGCCGCACATTGAGAAATGCACGGTTCGAGCCTGGGCCAGGTAAATCCACTCTCTCACACACACCCGATGCTTTCTGCTTGTTATCCTTTCGTATTGTGGAACGTTGTTACCTTAAGCTTGCAGCCAGGTGGCACACCACTCAGGGAGGACCTTTGAGGTGAGAGTCAGATTTCTTTCATGAGAGTGGCTGAGGCAACAGAAGAAGCTAAAGGGAGGAAGAGAATCAGAATAAAGGCAGATGACCGGCAGAGCTGTTTCTCCGACACGCCACTGCAGCTGCATCTGGCCACCGCCAGAAACTCCCCACTGAACAGCTCCACCGCGACTGCCACTACGGCCGCCGCCACCACTCCCACTGCTGCCACCACCACCGCCACCACTCCCACCGCCACCACGAAGAGACATCATAGCGGGCAAAGGAAGGAGGCGTGCGACCCGGCACTAGGGTAGCACGTAGGGTAGAGCGGGTCGGCGCACGGTCAGGGTAGGGCGCGCGGGGAGGGCAGGGCGCGCGGGCAGGGCAGGGCCGGGCGTGTGGGCAGGGCAAGGCCGGGCGCGCGGGCAGGGCAGGGCCGGGCGCGCGGGCAGGGAAGAGGCAGCGCGAGGGCTGCAGGGGCGGCACGCAGGACTGCAGAGGCAGCGCGCAGGCTGCAGGGGTTTCGCGCGCGGGGCTGCAGAGGCAGTGCGCGGGCTGCAATGGCGGCGCGCGGGGCTGCAGAGGCAGCGCGAGGGCTGCAGGGGCGGCGCGCAGGGCTGCAGAGGCAGCGAACGGGCTGCAGGGGCGGCCCGCGGGGCTGCAGAGGCAGCGCGAGGGCTGCAGGGGCGGCGCGCGGGGCTGCAGAGGCAGCGCACGGGCTGCAGGGGCGGCGCGCGGGGCTGCAGAGGCAGCGCGAGGGCTGCAAGGGCGGCGCGCGGGGCTGCAGAGGCAGCGCGAGGGCTGCAGGGGCGGCGCGCGGAGCTGTAGAGGCAGCGCGCGGGCTGCAGGGGTGGCGCGCGGGGCTGCAGGGGCAGGGCGCGGGCTGCAGGGGCCGCGCGCGGGGCTGCAGAAGCAGCGCGAGGGCTGCGGTGGGGGGGGGGGGCTGCAAAAACAGCGCGCGGGCTGCAAGGGCGGCGCGCGGGGCTGCAGACAGGCGGCGCGCGGGCTGCACGGGGCAGCGCGCGCGGTCACTGAGCTAATGGTGGGCCCGAAAAAAGAAACGGTCATACGGACGTACTGCTCTGATACCATGTCAAAATCTAGCAGTGAAGAATGATGTATTTAAGAGAAATGTGAGTACAAGTACTAACCCTAATCTGGGTTGTACCCCTTATGGGCTACCCCACCACAGCCTACACACAACAAGCACCATTATTGTTTGACAAGCAGTAGCAGCAGTGGCCAGCAGCAGTGGCGGCAGCAGCAGGCAGCAGCTGCGGATTGGCAGGGCAGTGCTGGTGGCGGCCAGGCAGGACAAGGCAGCGCTGAGCAGCGCGTGCAGGCAGGGCAGCAGTGGCAGCGGCCAGTTGGCAGCGGCCAGTAGCAGCAACGGCAGTGGCCAGTAGCAGCAGCAGCAGCAGTGGCCAGCAGCAGTGGCGGCAGCAGCAGGCAGCAGCTGCGGATTTGCAGGGCAGTGCTGGTGACGGCTAGGCAGGACAAGGCAGCGCTGAGCAGTGCGTGCAGGGAGGGCAGCAGAGGCAGCGGCCAGGAGCAGCACCGGAAGTGGCCAGCAGCAGTGGCGGCAGCAGCAGGCAGCAGCTGCGACTCTGCAGGGCGCGCAGTGGGCAGTGCGCGGGCAGCTCGCGGGTCGCCGGCCGAGCGCAGGGCAGGCGCTCGCGGGCGGCGCACAACTATACGTGGGCTTGACGCCTGCTGTACAGGCTGCGCGTGGGCCTCGAGCGGGCTGTACGGGCTGCGCGCGGGCCTTGCGCGGGCTGTACGGGCTACGCCGGGCGGCGCGCGGGCTGTACGGGCTGCGCGCGGGCGGCGCGCGGGCTGTACGGGCTGCGCGCGGGCGGCGCGCGGGCTGTAAGGGCTGCACGCGGGCTGTAAGGGCTACGCGCGGTAGGGCAGGGCAGGGCAGCGCGAAAGCGCTGGGCAGGGCAGGGCAGGGCAGGGCAGCGCTAAGCTAAAGCGCTGGGCATGACAGGAACTACCTAATTTGGTGGGCCTTAAAAAAAACGGTCCTAGAATGGGACCTGCTCTGATACCATGTTAGAACTAGGAGAGTATACGAGTAATGATTAGGTCAAAGGGGAGGGGGGACAAGTACAATGTCGAGAGAATTATTGTACCCTCTAAGGCTAAACCCCCTACAGCCTAGTACAAAATTAACACATAAGTTTGACACTCACCCCCCTGAAGCGTCGTCAGCTCCTGCTCCTCCTCCTCCTGCTGCTGCTGCTCCTGCTGCTCCTCCTCCTCCTACCAATCCCACTCCAGCCGCTGCTGCTCCCTCTTTCCTCCCACTCTTTGCAACCCTGTCAATCCCAATCCAGCCCTGCCTGGAAGACGACGGCGATAACAGCCCCCTGATTTCAGATGGTTGAACCCGAGAATGTCGCTGCCGAAACGACAGGCACGATGCTCGTCAGGGAATGGAGAATGGTGAGGCAATAGGAGAACTTTAGTAACGAGTGCGAAAAAGCGGTTGTACTCATCCCCGACTACCTTAAGTGTCAACAAAATCTTACCGCACCAACAGGCCCCTAGATTCGTTTTGAGGCACGCTGATCGATCAGCGGGCACCTAGTACTCTGGCTGTCAGAGTTGCCTAAAATTTTTAGTCTGAAAGTTCAGACTACACTATCATTTCTTCGCTGATCTTTCAGACTAACATCTTGCCAACGCTGCCTGCTGCGCAACCGCGATTGGTTGGAATTGAAACTGATTGTAGCAATTCTGTGCCAACGTGACTGTGCGGTGCCGCGCTCGGGAAACTTTGGGTTCCCGCCCGTGATTGACGGTGTTAGTGCTACACGCCTCCAGGCTGGTGGAAACCCCTGTATTACCGGTTTAAGAGTGCACCCCCGAAACAAGTCTGAGGCTCAGACTACACTAAAGAAAATTAGGCTGAAAATCCAGACGAGTCATAAACAAAAACTCTGAAAAATCAGACAAGGTACACAAAAAAGTTTCTTGGACTTCAGCCTAGGTACAAAAAAAAAGTCTGAACGAACTCTGAATCAGACTAAAAAGTCCGATATCTAGGGCCCTGCCCACCAAGTGTTTCCTTGGTAGGCAGAGGAAAAGGCATGCACAAGTTGAGAAAACACATGCCATGTTTTTAGTGATGAAAAAATCATTTTGTATGTGTATTTCATTACGTGCCATATATTAGACCAGAATATACATGTTGGAGCATCAATTGTTGATTTTATACTCTTGCTTTTCTAAATTTAGTGAAATGAGCAAAACATGCAACACACCAACCCAGCGTATCTATTGCTGATATCGAATTTCATTACAGCTGAAATGTGCATAAAAACTGGTGTAAACGTGAATCCCAATGTGCGGTGCGTACGCAAGTTGCGCGCAATAATTTGGTCGGCCGCACATCCCGCAAGACTGGTGAGTGAATGGTAATTGCGCGCAGCCACCTCCCAGCTTACGTCGAACCTCATAAAAACTTCTCAACCACTTTGTACAGCTAGATACCTCGCCTTTGCCGATCGTTTTTCTCGAACCCCCCCACAGAACCAAACAACGCCAGCAACGGAAACAGCAGACTCGCATGTTTCATAATTTCGAGCTTGCATCACAGCGACTAGAGCGTCAGCAAACTTGGGTGGCCAAGTTACTACCCAATGATCAGCGCCACATCCGACGCTACAACGCCAGTAATAAACCGAGGCGCTACGAGAAGCAAGGCGCCGAACCGCCTCATCCGATGTCGAGCATCAGTATGCAGGCAAAGCCAGCAATCGGCGCTCACGCTTAGGATTATTAAGGCGGCGGGAGTTGGAAACAACTCATTCAGCTCCGGAATTTAGTAAACAGCAGTACAACCGAATCAGTACAATTTCCCTCAAAAGCTTCTCTTCCAGCAGAAATAGTGGCAATATCGAACTCTAGAGTCATGGGAGCGCTTCACCCGCGCCTTATTCTCGCCCTTGCCATTGTCGCATCTCTGAACCTCATTTCAGCTTTCGCGGCGCTGCCTCGTGATGGTTACTACGCCGCCAACGAGCCCGCACTCGACGACCCGCGCGCGCTCCTCGAGGCCGAAAACGATGCCTCACTTGACTCCGTTGACTCGGTTGACTTGGAGAGCCCGCGGGTGCTGCGCAATGTGGCGGCGACTTGAAGCGGTCGTTGGACGACTTGAGCGGCGCCGTGAAGGATTCCATCGGGCAGGTGGGGAGGAACGTGCAGAATTCGTTCGAAAGTACGTTCCACACTGGCAAATACGCGCCGCCGCCCAAGCGCCACGGCGGGAGGAAGCACCCGCGGGGAGGCGCTCCTAAGCGCAAACCTCCCGCCGCCCCCAAGCCGCCAGCTGCGCCCGCTGTTAAAACGCCAGCAGGTGCGAAGAAAACCAAGCAGGCGCCTCGAGATAAGGCCAACTCGGGAGCAGCCCCCAAGACTCCCGCTTCCCCGCTGCTCCCGCTGCTGGCAAGCCGGCCCCTAAAACGAAGCCGGTGAAGGGCAACCCGGGTGCTGTCCCCAAGGCGCCTGTTCCCGCTGCTGGCGCGTCGGGTGTTCCGCCGAAGCAGGCGGGAGCTGCAGACAGCGCGGGCGCAGCCCCCAAGCTGCCCACCGCTCCCGCTGCTGCTGGCACGTCGGGTGTTCTGCCGAAGCTGGAGGAAGCTAAAGAGAACTCAGGCGGCGCAGCCAGCCAGCCACGGGTTTTGACTGAGGATGGTAATGATGTGGAGAACAGCGCTGACTGGGTTGACTCCGTTGACTCTATTGACCCGGTTGACTCGGTTGAATCTGTTGACTCGGTTGACTTGGAGAACCCGCGGGTGCTGCGTGATGTGGCGGCGGACTTGAAGCGGTCGTTTGATGATTTCAGCGGCGCCGTGAAGGATTCCATCGGGCAGGCGGGGAGGAACGTGCAGAATTCGTTCGATCAAACGTTCCGCACTGGCAAGTTCGCGCCCAAGCCGCGCCGCGGCGGGAGGAAGCACCCGCGCGGAGGCGCTCCTAAGCGCAACCCGGCCGCCGCCCCCAAGACGCCCACTGCCCCCAAGACGCCCACTTCCCCCAAGACGCCCACTTCCCCCAAGACGCCCACTTCCCCCAAGACGCCCACTTCCCCCAAGACGCCCACTTCCCCCAAGACGCCCACTTCCCCCAAGACGCCCACTTCCCCCAAGACGCCCACTTCCCACAAGACGCCCACTTCCCCCAAGACGCCCACTTCCCCCAAGACGCCCACTTCCCCCAAGACGCCCACTTCCCCCAAGACGCCCACTTCCCCCAAGACGCCCACTTCCCCCAAGACGCCCACTTCCCCCAAGACGCCCACTTCCCCCAAGACGCCCACTTCCCCCAAGACGCCCACTTCCCCCAAGACGCCCACTTCCCCCAAGACGCCCACTTCCCCCAAGACGCCCACTTCCCCCAAGACGCCCACTTCCCCCAAGACGCCCACTTCCCCCAAGACGCCCACTTCCCCCAAGACGCCCACTTCCCCCAAGACGCCCACTTCCCCCAAGACGCCCACTTCCCCCAAGACGCCCACTTCCCCCAAGACGCCCACTGCGCCCGCTGCTGGCATGGCGGCCGCTCCAAAGGTCCCCGCAGGCGATACGGGCAACGCGCAGGCATGGCGGGTCCCGCGGGAAATTATGGCATGGCGGGTCCGACGGGAGATAAGGGCAACGCGGGCGCAGAACCCAATCCGCTTACTGCTCCCGCTGCTGGCATGGCGGTGGCTGGGAAATAGAATGGGTTGGAGGTGCGATGATATGCTGTGCTGTGTCACTAAGAGGGGCACAGCACAGCGGGCCCTTGGGAGTAACTCTGGGGCAGGGCGTTTGAATCAGGAGGTTCTGCTCTGCGCTTTCAGACGCCCCTCTGGTGCAAGGGGGGGGGTTGACCTTTGGGCCGGCTCAGAAGCCGTAGGAGCAGGGTTGAAAGGGCGCATTTGTGGTGGGGGGGGGGGGGGGATACTCTGGTGTGTGGGGAGAGGAGGGCTGCAAAGGGTGCTCCTTCCGAGCCGATGAATGTCGGGCTTAGGGGGAATGTAGTTGTGCTGTGGAGTGTGTGTGTGTGTGTTCGTGTTGCTGCAGGGTGTGAAGGGGCCGCAGTGTGGTGTGGTTGCCAAGAGATGGAAGGGGCAATATGGGCTGCAAGGAATAGAGCGGAGGAGGGATGCTTGCTGTCTCTCACTGCTTTTTAGTTCCATTTTCTCCTGGGTGCCTTTTTTCTAGAGGTTTGATGCTGTATTTGGTGGGCTGTTAATGATAAAGCTTCGATTCCCTCTTTGCTCTTCCTTCCTTCCCAAGATCCATTCACCTATCACTTTGCAACTCTTAATATTTTCTTCTCTTGAGTAGAAGGGTACTGTAGTTGCTGGTACCAACAAACTCCCAGACTACCCCATAGGCATTCAGAGACTCGGTAGCTTTATTATTCAGTAATTCAATCCCAAAATTCATAGGCCTCCCCTCCCACACGTGTCAATCACGAATTACACTCAAGACAAAGTGCCGTTCAGATCCGCCCGCATGCTCTAATTGCCGCCCAACGCCGCCCATTCCAGATCTGCCATAGTAGGCCCCACACCTCCTCCTCCTCCCCTCCCTCCCTCCGCCTGACTCCCTGCACTCCCCTTCCCCTTCCCTTGCTCTTTACCCCCATTCCCCCTCTCATTTCCCGGAACCACTGCTGTCACCCCTCCTCCTGCTACTCCTCCTGCCAATCCCACCCCAGCCGCTGCCGCTCCCTCTTTCCTCCCACTCTCTGCAACCCTAGCCTTGGCAGCAAATTCCCTCTCAAACTGGCTGAAATCCACAGGCACTGCAATGGTCGCTGGCCCACGCTTCGGCTCGCCTGCCCCTTCCAGCACCGAAAGGTCAAGTGGGGCAGACATGCCCTCTACACCACTCGAGCCGGCACGAGGAGGTGGGGGGCGGGAGAACAGAGCATCGTCTGGTGTGAGAGATTCAGGCGCCGTCCAGTTCCCTCCCGCAGCAGCAGTAGCAAGGGACCAAGTCGGTGCTCCTGCTGTTGCCGCTGCCGCTGCTGCAGCTGAAGACTGAAACCCCCCTGCAACCCCTCCCGCTGCTCCTCCCACTGTTCCGAACCCTAAACTGCCGTCGTCTGAGGTTTGGGCAACGGAGAACTCCCGAGGGGGGACGATTTGGATGGGCGGGTCTTTGGTGGTGGGGGCGAGTGTCTGGAAGGGGTCTTCGGAGGCCTGGGTGTTGGCGAAGAGGGTGTTGAAATGCGCTGTGTGCAGCATGTTGTGGCGCTTCAGCTGCACCTCCTCCTTCTGCAACCATCGGTTCCATTGCTTCAGCAGGGCTGCCAGGGTGGGCCGACCGTGGGACTGGGGATGCGAGAGAAAGGTTGAAACAAAGGAAAGGGAGGACAAGAGAGGGCGTGTTCACCACGCCCGTGTCAGTCCATGCCTTCTCCAACATATTCGCATCTCGTAGCAACGCTGCTGCATGAATCGAAGATGGCAACACGTGTGTTTTAGTCTGTTCTGTGACTACTGATGCCACTCACCAGGGCGTGCAGGGCAGCTTCAGGCACCATGCCCGTGTCAGCCCATGCCTTCTCCAACACAGCAAGGCAGGCACACACACGCCAAGAAACTGTGCACTGATGTGACTGTAGTTGTGTAACTGAATATGGGTTGCCACTCACCAGGGCGTGCAGGGCAGCTTCAGGCACCATGCCCGTGTCAGCCCATGCCTTCTCCAGCATATTCGCATCTCCCAGCAGCGCTGCTGCACACGCCGCCTCTCTACCACAGCCCCCCCGCACAAGTGACTGGATTTGCATCTGCAAGTGGGTGGGTTTGGGAGAAAAGGAGGGGGTGGGAGAAAAGGAGAAAGTGATGAGAGAATGGGGCATGGGGCATGGGGCATGGGGCATGGGGCATGGGGCATGGGGCATGGGGCATGGAGCATGGGGCAAGGCATATCCGACACATCTGCCATTTCTAGCATTCAGATGGCTTTCCAGCAGACCCGCCCCTGCCAGCTGCTGTACCGCCCTCTAGATACACACAGCATATGTTTTTTGAGAATTCTCAAAAAACGTACACCAGGCTTGCATTCCTCACCTGCAGCCTCGTTCCCTCCCCATGCAGGGCCAGTCTCAGAGACACCCTGCGCTGCACGGCTGGCAGCAGCGCGCCCTCCAGCAGACTCGCCCCCGCCAGCTGGCGCAGCGCTCGCACCGCCACGTCAGCCTGCCCCGTGGCGTCTGCTGCGTCAACGAGGTCCAGGAATTCAGAGGCATAGCGCGCCACGCCGACTGCCGCCTCCATCATGCTGGGTGTGGGGAGGTTGGAAAGGGGGAGAGGGGTTGGGGGGGATAAAGAGGAGTCAGCTGCCTGCCCTGTGGAACTCTGAGGCATAGCGCGCCACCCCCATTGCTGCCTCCACCATGCTGGGGAGGGGATGGTGGGAAGGGATAAAAGGGAGGGAGGAGGGTTCACGTATAAGTGGTGGAGTGATGTGCGGCGCATTGTGAACGAGGTTGAGAAGCTCAGAGGCACAAGGTCTCTCTGCCTCTAGCGCCACACAAGGTGTCCTGCCTCTAGCGCCACACAAGGTGTCTCTGCCTCTAGCGCCACACAAGGTGTCTCTGCCTCTAGCGCCACACAAGGTGCCTCTGCCTCTAGCGCCGCACAAGGTGTCTCTGCCTCTAGCGCCACACAAGGTGTCCTGCCTCTAGCGCCACACAAGGTGTCTCTGCCTCTAGCGCCACACAAGGTGTCTCTGCCTCTAGCGCCACACAAGGTGCCTCTGCCTCTAGCGCCACACAAGGTGTCTCTGCCTCTAGCGCCACACAAGGTGTCTCTGCCTCTAGCGCCACACAAGGTGCCTCTGCCTCTAGCGCCACACAAGGTGTCTCTGCCTCTAGCGCCACACAAGGTGTCTCTGCCTCTAGCGCCACACAAGGTGTCTCTGCCTCTAGCGCCACACAAGGTGTCTCTGCCTCTAGCGCCGCACAAGGTGTCTCTGCCTCTAGCGCCACACAAGGTGTCCTGCCTCTAGCGCCACACAAGGTGTCTCTGCCTCTAGCGCCACACAAGGTGTCTCTGCCTCTAGCGCCACACAAGGTGCCTCTGCCTCTAGCGCCACACAAGGTGTCTCTGCCTCTAGCGCCACACAATGTGTCTCTGCCTCTAGCGCCACACAAGGTGCCTCTGCCTCTAGCGCCACACAAGGTGTCTCTGCCTCTAGCGCCACACAAGGTGTCTCTGCCTCTAGCGCCACACAAGGTGCCTCTGCCTCTAGCGCCACACAAGGTCCCACAACCCCCCATCAGCGCTCACTCTTACTCCAACACTCACTTGACTTTTGAGACGTCTCAAAAGTACTCCAACACTCACTTGGCCTGAGAAGCAGCCATGGCGAGGACCCCCGTGGAGTCCATCTGGCTGCCCATGGCTGCATCGGCATCGGCCACGGGTGATTGCATGTATGTAGTACCTTCCGAGAACAGCACTCACTTGGCTTGTGATGCCGCCATGCTGCCATGGAGTGTGTCTGGCTGTCCATGGCTGCATCGACATCAGCCACAGCTGCTCGCAATCCTCTCTGCACCTCATAGCACATGCCCACCAGCCCAGCAGGCAGCAGTCGTCCCAACACTCACTTGGCTTGACTAGCAGCCATGGCGAGGATCCCAGTGGAGTCCATCTGGCTGTCCATGGCTGCATCGGCATCCGCCACAGCTGCCCCCGAGGCGGACATGGGGCGGGAGAGCGCCATGAGGCAGTGCAGCGCGCGGTCTAACTCGCCACATGACAGAGCCAGTTCATATTCGAACCTGCCAAAGTGGATGGGGGGGGGGGGGGGGGGGACGGGCAGGAGGAGCAGCAACAGCAATAACAGCAGTGTCAGCAGCTGCATCGGCATCGGCCACGGCACGGGTGCCCCCGAGGCGGACATGGGGCGGGAGAGCTCCATGAGGAAGTGCAGAGCACGGTCTAACTCGCCACATGACAGAGCAAGCTCGTACTCAAACCTGGGGGGAGGGGGATGGGGGAGGAGGTGGTGAGAGAGGGGCCGGCCAGGAGCAATAGCAGCATCAGTAGCAGCTCCACCAGCAGCAGTAGCAGCCCTCAGCAAGGGGTGCCCCCGAGGCGCACATGGGGCGAGAGAGCGCCACGAGGCAGTGCAACGCACGGCGCTTCTCGCCACATGACAGAGCCAGCTAGTATTCGAACCTGATGGGGAGGGGGGAGGGGGGAGCAGCAGCGGCATGCGCAGCAGCAGAAGCCACACGGCAGCGCCAGCTCGTATTCACACCTGCTGGGGAGGGGCCTGCCAGTTACCAGTAGCATGGAGGGCGCGGCAGCAAGTTGACTTTTGAGTCAACCAGTTACCAGTAGCATGGAGGGCGCGGCAGCAGCAGCAGCAGCAGCAGCAGCAGCAGCAGGATTGACAGCAACAGCATGAGCAGGAGCATGAGATGCCCATCAGTGAATGAGTAACGAGGCACCCTGAGTGTGTGTGTGTGTGTGCGTGCGTGTGTGTGTGTGTGTGTGTGTGTGTGTGTGCGTGCGTGCGTGCGTGCGTGTGTACGTGTGTGTGTGTGTACGCATGCGTGCAATGCTGTTGATACGATACCCCTTTGTCACACTCGAGTACCCACCTCTTGTACAGTCCCGCCAACTGCAGCGCCTCCCTCGCATACCCCATGCCCACCATGCACTGTTTTGAGACGTCTCAAAACTTCCCTGGCATACCCCATGCCCACCATGCACTGCGTGAGTCAGCACCCTAGGCATGCATACTCTTTCAAAGGAGTTTTGCATGCATGCATGTACTATACTGTTGATACGAAACCCCTTGATTTATACTCGAATTCCCACCCACCTCTTGGACAGTCCAGGCAGGTGCAGCACCTCGCCTCCCTCACATACCCCTTGCCCACTATATATTGTGCCAGGAGGCACATAATATATACATATGCATGCATGTACTATACTGTCGACACGACACCCCTTGATTTATACTCGAATTCCCACCCACCTCTTGGACAGTCCAGGCAGGTACAGCGCCTCTCTGGCATACCCCATGGCCACCATGCACTGTGCAAGAAGCATCCGACCTACCTACCTACACAGTACTGCCATTACTCACTCACCTCTTGGACAGTCCAGGCAGGTACAGCGCCTCTCTGGCATACCCCATGGCCACCATGCACTGTGCGAGTAAGCACCCTGAATACACACATGCATGTTCCATACTCTAGTCAATACCATGTTGTAGTGAAAGCCATACCTCTTGGACAAGCCAGGCAGGTGCAGCGCCTCCCTAGCATACCCCATGCCCACCATGAGCTGTGTGAGTCAACACCATGTATACATACATGCATGTACTACACTGTACTCCATACCATACCCCATCCATCCTTGAGTGCCCACCTCTTGGACAGCCCCGGTAAGTGCAGCGCCTCCCTGGCATACCCCATGCCCACCATGAACAGTGTGAGCCGACATCCTATACATGTATCTTTTGTATGTACTGCTGATACGATAGCCCTTTATATGCGGTACCCACCTCTTGGACAGCCCCGGTAAGTGCAGCGCCTCCCTGGCATACCCCATGCCCACCATGAACTGCGCCAGGTCGTCGTGGTGCTCCCTCCCCAAGCGAGACGCCCTGGTGGGGAGTGGTAGCGAGTGGTCGGGAGTGGTGTGGAGTGATGGTGAGGGGTGGTGAGGGTTACAGATACAACAGGGAGAGGTGCGGGCAAGGCATACCCCATGCCCACCATAAACTGTGCCAAGTCGTCATGGTGCTCTCTCCCCAGGCGAGAGGCCCTGGTGGGGAGTGCTGGTGAGTGGTGTTAAGGATTATGACACAATGAGTGGTGTTGAGAATGGGTTGTCATGAGGGTAAGATAGGGAGTGGAGCGGAGGGGAGAACAGCGAGAGGGAGCAAGAAACACAAGGGATGGGGATTGTGGCGAAGTGAAAGAGAGAGAGGTGGTCAGAATGGTTAGTCCCATGTGCAATAGCTTAGCTCATGCCTGCCTTGCAATTACCTGTACCCCAATATATATGAAAGGTAATTACCGTTCGAGAGGTGGTCGGTAGGTGGTGGGAGGATCAACATGAGGGTTATGGATCAACATGAGCAGCAAATGAGGGAGTGGAAGAGGGCGGATGAGGTAGAGAGGGGTGGAGAGGTGGAGAGGTGGAGAGGGAGGGAAGAAGAGGAGCAAACCATTTGACGGCGGGAATGGGATCAGCAGGAACATCGAGGCAGAGAGTGGAAGGGGATGGAAGGTGGAGCGATAACAGGGAATAGAGACAGGTGGAGCGGTAGAAAGGGATAAAGAGAGGTGGAGAGGGATAAAGAAGAGGCACACACCACTTGACGGCGCCAACAGGGTCGCCATGAGCAGCAAGGCACCGACAGCGCACTCCGGGGTGGGAGAGGGAGATGGCATGCGCTGTCATGTACCTGCAAGGGCAATGGGAGAGCAGTGAGGTAAGTGCGATAAGATAGATGGCGAGATTGGAGGGGAGACACTGAAGAGTGGGCTATGGAAGCACTCCCGGGTGGGAGAGGGAGATGGCATGTGCTGTCATGTACCTGCCAGGGCAAAGGGAAAACATTGAGGGAAGGGCAGTAAGACAGATGGGGCGGGAGGTTGGAGAGGAGACACTGAAGAGTGGGCTATGGAAGCACACCGTGGTGACAGAGGGGGAAGCGACACCTGAGTCCAGCCCAGCTATTGCCAATCACAGAGCATGCGTGCAGCAACTCACCGGTCCACCAGCTACAGGACTCCGTTCCTCACCCCCACCACTTACACTGCCTCTGCTCCATGAGCAGCCGCGCGGCCACTTTTGGCGCAAGGACTATCAGACATAGAGGATGCACGCAGCAACACACTGGTCCACGAGCCATAGAACTCCGTCTCGCACCCCCACCACGTACACCTGCCCCACCGGCCGCCTTTGCTCCATGAGCCCTCACCCACTGGCACCTGAGAGCAACTGGGGAGAATCAATGCTGCACTCACCGGTCTACCAGCCATAGAACTCCGTCTCGCACCCCCACCACGTACACCTGCCCCACCGGCCGCCTTTGCTCCATGAGCCCTCACCCACTGGCACCTGAGAGCAACTGGGGAGAATCAATGCTGCACTCACCGGTCTACCAGCCATAGAACTCCGTCTCGCACCCCCACCACGTACACCTGCCCCACCGGCCGCCGCTGCTCCATGGGCAGCCGCCCGGCCGCCACCGGCACGCCCCCGCCGCCCACCACCACTTCGGGGGGCTTCACCTCGGGGCCATCCAGCAGCCCCGGACCAGACGAGGCGCCAGGCGGCGCTGACGTGGCGTCGGCTGATAGGCTGCGGGCTCGAGCCATGGCTGAGATGGGGGGGACTGCTGGGGCAGAGGAGAAGGAGGCAAGGCGAACCACCTGGGGGGAGGAAAGAAGGGACAGGGAGAGAAAGAGATAGAGAGATTCATATTTCAATACAATTACCACAGAGCCAGCCAGGTCGCCCTACCAAGGCTCACAGTAGAAGACACACCCTGCTGTGACATGCTCCACCGCACTGCACCACAATCACTTGCAACTTGGGTGGCTCCATGGCTAGCGGATCCAGGTCGCCCTTCCCAAAGTTTGAAAAGTCAGGCTGTGCTGTCCCATCCCAACCACTCACGGCGGCCACGCTCACCCCCAGTGGCATGGCAGACCACCACGCTCACCCCCAGTGGCATGGCAGACCACCACACTCACCTGCAGCATGGCTTTTGAGAGGTCTCAAAAGGCGCAGGTGCACCTGTTCAGGAGCCTCCCCCGTCTTGGGAGGCGCCATGGCCGGCAGAGCCAGCTACTCGCCCTTCCCAGGCTCACAGGAGAAGGCACACGCTACTGTAACATGCTCCACCGCACTGCATCGCACTGGACACACCATTACACACACTACACCACGCGCACCTGTAGCATGGGTGGCCACAGCTGCACCCTCTCTGGTGCCTCCTCCGTTTTAGGAGGCGCCAGCAGAGCCAGCTCGCTCTTCCCAGGCTCACAGGCGACGCAGCGCCCTACTGAAATACACCGCACCGGAATGCACCGCACTTCACACACATTGGCACACGTTACACCACACTCACCTGCAGCATGGGTGGCCGCAGCTGCACCCTCCTGGTGCCTCCTCCGCTTTAAGAGGCGCCATGGCCAGCAGCGCCAGCTCGCCCTTCCCAGGCTCACAGGCGATGCAACACCCTACTACTGTACCACACTGCACCGCACTGCACCGACTCACCTGCAGCATGGGCGGCCGCAGTTGAACCCTCTCTGGTGCCTCCTCCGTCTTGGGAGGCGCCATGGCCAGCAGCGCCAGCTCGCCCTTCTCTGCCACCACCTTCGCCTCCTCCTCCCTCCTCTTCCTCTCCTCCTTGCGCCTCCTCGTTTCCAGGTCGATCGCACTCACTCCGGCATCCACAAACACACACCTGGACGGTGAACGAGACGGTGAAGGGAGAGGGAGATTGGAGGGAGGAATGAGGGAGGAGAAGATGCATCAGAACGCCCTTTTCTGCCACCACTTTCGCACTTCTAGCCCCTTCCCAGCCCTTTGTACACCTTTGCACACCTCCAATTGCAGAAAGAACGACTCACTCCACTGAGGTAGGCGTAGCCAGAAACAGCTGGCGGTGGTGCCATGCCATGAACCCCCTGTGGCCCCCCTCATTGCCACGTGGCCCAGGCAGCGGAACTGCGGGCGCAGCGCACAGCAGACTCATAAACTCCAAACAAACCCCTCAGGACCCTTCCAAACCCCTGAAACCACTCACTCGACTGAGGTGGGAGTAGCCAGGAAAAGCTAGCGGCGGTGCCACGTGCCTCCAGTGGCCCCTATGACGGCCGCGTGATCCAGGCAGCGGAACTGCGGGCGCAGTGTTGCCACCACGATGTGCATCCATGGAACAGGATTTACTCACTCGACTGAAGTAGGAGTAGCCAGGAAGAGCTGGCGCCGGTGCCAGGTTCCTCCTGTCGCCCCTCTGACTGCCACGTGGCCCAGGCAGCGGAACTGCGGGCGCAGAGTGGCCACCACGATGTGTGTGGCGTAGGCAAAGGCGCAGTACTCTACTATGGGGTCCCACGCGGTCCAGTGCGGTTCTGGTAGCATGCCGCTGACCGGCTTGAATGTTTCCCAGCTGGGAGGGGGAGGGGGAAAAAGAGGGAGGGGGAAAAAGAGGGATGGGGTGGGAGGTTGCTCTCTAGCTCAGTCCTCTAATCGACAGTTCTATACCTAGGGCTTATGCAGCATGCTGCTCACTGGCTTGATTCGATTCAACGTCTCTTGTTGATAGAGATGTGCGAGACTAAGATGAGGTGGGGACGAGCAGAAGGTGCGAGAAGGATGGGGAAGAAGAGAAGAGAAGAGAAGAGAAGGTGAATGCGAAAGGCTGATTGACTGTGATTCTAAGGAAATGGGAGTACCTTATAAGGTGGAAGTTTGGCGGATGCTCACTGTAATCCGCCATTGATTCTGCAGGGGAGAAGGAGAAAACCACAGAGGAGAGGAAAGGGAGACGTGGGGGTTAGGACTGGGGGGGGGTGCTCACTGTAATCCGCCATTGATTCTGCAGGGGATCGAAGAGGGCAGTGAGCCAGTCAGTTATTATGAGAAAAAAAGAACAGAGCATTAATAATAGCAGAAGAAGCAGCAGAAGAGAGAAAAGAGAGAGACATGGAGGATGGAGTGGAGAGAGCGAGCAGGACGAGCAGGACGAGCAGAGCGAGCAGGACGAGCAGAGCGAGCAGGACGAGCAGAGCGAGCAGGACAAGCAGGACAAGCAGGACAAGCAGGACGAGCAGGACTAGAATCCTCTCCTAGTCCGCCGTGGATTCTGAGAGGGATGGGAGAGGTCAATGAGCTAGCTAGTTATGAGGGGGAAGAACAGAAGCCGAAAGGAAGCGTTGTGAAACCAGCTAGCAGAGCGACCATGATGGGCGGAGAGGGAGAGGGCACTACCCGGTGCCCTAGTAGGGAGAGGGCACCGCCGGCTCGCACGAAAGGGCAGCAGAGGCAGGCCCCTACAACTATGTTGCACCTGACGCCCTGGCAGGTCAGCGTCCAGCGTCTGGACGTGACCGTCCGGACGCTGGACGCGTCAAACAGGTTTAACGCTGGACGTTCGGGAAAAAAAAAAATCGGGCAGCCTGGAAAAAAAAATCCCCGCACGAAATTGACTCGCGATTTCATCGCGACCAGAATCGCATTGAAATTGCCAACTGTGGGTTGGGTTTTTGAGCTACAAAAATGCAACCCACATTTATTACCCCCAACACATTTGTACCCATCCATATCCATTACACAGATCTGTTTCTCTTGACATTGCCTAGCATACCTATCCCTAGATTCCGCCAATCACGCTACTTAGGCTTCCTAGTTCAATTTAGGTTAAGGCGACTTAGTTATAATGTCGTCTCCTAGTGGTGCAGATCCATCGGGTAGTGACTCCACACCTTCTGCAGGTGGTGTCGGGTCAAAAAGCAATTATTACGAAATGCCTAATCATCCCGTTTACGAGCATTATTTATTTTACATGAACTTGATGCATCCTAACACCTGTGTAGCCTTACTAGGCGGTTGTTTTTTACCCCTGCACGGGGAAAGTTTTTCCCTGCCCGGACTAGCGTCAAGCGGGCGTCCAGGGCAGAGGAAACCGGGCGTCCAACGTCTGGACGCCCCGTCCAGACGCCAGCGTAAAAAACGCTGGACGCGTCAAGTGCAACATAGCCCTACAGCAAGCCCTACAGCAAGCCCTCTTGCTGCATTTCACTCAGTTACCGGCCTTGGCTGCTCAGAGAAACTAGAACTCTGACAAAGAGCCTAACCCACCAGCTCGTGAGGAGAGCGCAGCAGAGGGCAGGCTGACCCCTGGCAGAGCTGCCTTCTTGGGCATGCGATAGGCCACTCCCAACAGCGCGCCTGGGAAGAGACCCGTAACCTGCAGAGACAGGAAAGGAGAGCGGAGGGCCTTGTGAAAACCGTGATAACACCAGTGAAGTACAGGAGAGGGACTGGAGGAAGTACAAAATTCACGCGACGTCCAGATTCATTGAATCCAGCATCCAGCTGTTGCAAGCCTCAGTTCGTCTCACACACACCTGCTCGCGGCGTCCAGATTCAATGGATGTGCACATGATCTGCATTTTCCGGTTGCAATTCACATTCTAATTCACCATCACACAAACGCACACGCACCTGCTCGCGGCGTCCAGATTCAATGGATGTGCACATGATCTGCATTTTCCGATTGCAATTCACATTCTAATTCACCATCACACAAACGCACACGCACCTGCTCGCGGCGTCCAGATTCAATGGATGTGCACATGATCTGCACTTTCCCGTCCTTCCTGATCCGCCGGACCTCCACAGTCGCCCCGGCCAGTGCTGCAGCCGCAGCAGCCATGGCAGCCGCCGCTGCTGCCTCTGCCTCCTTGGCATCCTTCTTGCTGCGCCCTCGGAACCCGTGCCTGCCTGAACTCGCAGAGCTGCTCTGCACCTGGTGGGAGGGTGGGTGGAATGGAAAGGAAACCCACAGGGGAGAGAGTGTGTCTCTGCCAGAAGCAGCAGCCATGGCAGCCGCTACTGCTGCCTCTGCCTCCTTGGCATTCTTCTTGCTGCGCCCTCTGAACCCGTGCCTGCCTGAGCTGGCAGAGCTGCTCTGCACCTGAGGGGAGGGTGGGTGGAATGGAAAGGGAACCCACAGGGGAGAGAGTGTGTCTCTGCCAGCAGCAGCAACCATGGCAGCCACTGCTGCTGCCTCTGCCTCCTTGGCATCCTTCTTGCTTCGCCCTCTGAACCCGTGCCTGCCTGAACTGGCAGAGCTGCTCGGCACGTGGATTGAACAGAACAGGTATGAGGGTGGGCAGGATGGGTAGGTGGGAGACGAGACACACAGGAAAGATCCCCCAAACAAACATTGAATTTGCAAGTAATAGCAAGAAGCTGCCTTGTCTTCCGTACTGGCCTGCCTGATCGATGACGAGGAGAGAGACAGGGGAATGGTCTGCTAGCAGCCGCTGCTGCCTCTGCCTCCTTAGCACCTTCTTGCTTCTACTTACAAACCGTGCCTGCCTGAACTGCCAGTGCTGCTCTGCACCTGGGGAAAGGGTCGCCAGGCAGGAGGCACAAAATCAGGAGACACAAGAGAAAGCTCAATTCTGCTAATAGCGATAGCTGAATCGGTCGTACCACAGGTGTCCCTGACTGAAGAAGTGTTTTGAGACGTCTCAAAACACTTCTTCAATCACGCGGTCGTACCACAAGCACAGGTGTCCCTGACTGAAGAAGTGTTTTGAGACGTCTCAAAACACTTCTTCAATCACGCAGTCGTACCACAAGCACAGGTGTCCCTGACAAGGTGCAGTAAGGGTGGTGCGCATGGATGGGAGTCGTGACGAGCGGATAAAAAGCACAGTGCACGTCGGGCCAATATGGCACATGCTGCCTTACCTTGCCATCCTGGGAGGCAAATGCACCACAGCCCCTCCCAGGATGGCGAAATGGTCCTGACAAACGTCCCAGGCGAAGTGGCAGGTGTTGGGTGTTGGGTGTTGGGTGTGTGATACATGGAGAGGGAGTACACACTGCACTGCACTGGAACACAGCTCCAGGTGCTGCCTTAACTTGGGAGAAGTCTGCTCATAGACCGCCTTACCTTGGGCACCACAGCCCCTCCCAGGATGGCGAAGCGGTCCTGACATGTGTCCCAGGCGAAGTGGCGGGCCGTGGGATTGAAGTGTGACGCGTGCAGGGCATGCAATTAACGAGGGGAGAAGCGGCATACAGAGAGAGGCAGCAAGAGAGAGGCAGCAAGAGAGAGGCAGCACTCGTACCTTGGGCACCACAGCCCCTCCCAGGATGGCGAAGCGGTCCTGACATGTGTCCCAGGCAAAGTGGCGCGCTGTGCCTGAGTCCACCACACCCCAGTCCGCCGTGCTGTGTACGCTGTAGAATGGCACCTCCGGCCAAAGCACTGCCAGATACCTGATCATTATATAGAAGTGAGGGCAAAGGAAAGGCGTGAGATGAGAGTGGCGGGCCGTGCCCGAATCCACCACACCCCAGTCCGCCGTGCTGTACACGCTGTAGAATGGCACCTCGGGCCCCAGCACTGCCAGGTACCTGATGGTCAGGAGTCAAGAGAAAGAAATAAGGGACCAAAGGAAGGAGGTGAGGGGCGGAGGGGAAGAAAATCCACCACGCCCCAGTCCGCCGTGCTGTGTACACTGTAGAATGGCACCTCGGGCCACAGCACTGCCAGGTACCTGGTGTGGTTGTGGGATTGATGGGCCAATGGAAAGGCGCGAAGGATGGAGGAGCGCATGATCAGGAATACTCAAACAGTTCAACTTGGATTGTTGCTTGAGGTCGGAGGAGCAGGAATGACTCCAACTGCTCAGTGCATGTGCTGAGCTGGAGGAGCTAAGGGTGCAACAAGATGGCACATTCTCAGATGCAGTGGTAGCGAGAGGCACGCTGGGATTGTTAGCTACTTTGACTGTGGTCATAGTACACCTGACCACGGTCAAACAAGCGAGCAATCCCTGCAAGCTTTCGCTACCACTGCTTCCGGAAATGCGTCATTCTGTTGCACCTCAGCCCCCTCCAGCTTAGCACATGCATTGAGCAGTTTTAATCATTCCTGCTCCTCCAACCGTAAGCAGCACACCAAGGTGAGCCGCTCAAGCTACCTAGTGCAGTTCTTCTGAAATCAATCTAGCGGGGCAAGGGTATGGCATGAAGAGCCGCAGCACTGCCACGTACTTGGTGATGGGAGTTGGTTTGGAATCACAAGTTTAGGGCTTGCATAATAGTAAGACTTTGTAACTAATCCTGATAGTCATGGTGGCAAGCCTCAGTTGGTGGGATATCTATCATGGGTATGTCTACTTACTTGCCGGACCTACTTACTTGCCGGACCTACTTACTTGCCGGACCTACTTACTTGCCGGACCTACTTACTTGCCGGACCTACTTACTTGCCGGACGTGCTTACCTGCCAGACCCACTTACTTGCCAGACTTGCTGACAGAGAGGTGTGAGTAGCTCTCATGCGCAACCGGCGCTGCTCTCCTCCTCTCCTGCTTCACCTGCACGTAGGGTGGGCAGGTGGGGTGAACGAGTGGGGTGGGCAGGCAAGCAGGAAGGCAAAACAGAAACACCATACAAGAGCTTTGGGGTGTGAAATTTGACGCATGCAGTAGCCTACCCGGTGTACTTACACCTCTCGAGGGACTAAGTCAGCTGCCCCTCCTAGTGACCCCTTCAAGCCATTAAGAAACTGACAACGAGCCTCTAGCTGCCACTGCCCCCCCCTTCCTTCGCAGCACCCCCCCTGCCCCAGTGACAACCGCTCAAGGCAACACTTGACTCACCTCAGGCACAGCAGCTTCAAGAGCATCCACGCGTGTGACTCCAGCCGGGGTGACTGGCCTCTGGCTGCCACTGCCCCCGCCCGCCACAGTCACACCCGCCCCAGGCCCGACCTGCCCTGCTGTCAGCAGCTGGAAGGCCAGTGCGTTGAGGCCCCTGCCCAGGCAGAACGCCACCTGAAAGGATGCGAGGGAAGAGGTAACCGGGGAGGCGGAGAGGTGGAGTCAACAGCTAGAAGGCTAGTGCGTTCAGCCCCCTGCCCAGGCCGAACGCTACCTGAGGAGGTGGGGGAGGGAAGGGGATTGGTGGGAGAAGGCATGAGCATGGGGCTGACGTGTAAGGGCTCGGAATGAGCATAGTCACACCCCGCCAAGGCCCGACCTGCCCCGCTGTCAGCAGCTGGAAGGCGAGTGCGTTGAGGCCCCTGCCCAGGCAGAACGCCACCTGAGGGATTGAGGGGAGGACGGGTGGTGGTGGTGGTAGTAGGTTGGGGATAAAGGCCACACAAACACTACCAGCTCGAACCATTTTCTGAGTGTGATCAAGTCAGCAACTGGAAGGAAAGCGTGTTCAGCTCCCTGCCCAGGCAGAACGGAACCTAAGTAGGTGGAGGGAAGGGTAGGGGATTGGTGGGAGAAGGCATGAGCATTGGGCTGAAGTGAGCAGTTGAAGAGTATATGGGTGTTGTTGGTGGCCATACAGATACTGTGTCGCTAGACCCACGCGTTGCCGGAAGCCCTGTGGAATGGGAAGGGCAGCTGCGGGGGGCACAGCAGTGCGGTTAAAGGTGATGAGCATCACCACCTCGTTGGTGCCACACTCTCACTCACTCCCTCACTCACTCACTCAATTATATGTGTGATCTAAAATCCCTCGCTCCCATCCCAACTCTCACCTGGTGTGGTGTGGGAAGAGCTGCTGCGGGGGGCACCGCAGTGAGGTGGAAGCAGATGAGCATCACCCCCACATTGGTGCCACACACCCTCACTCACTCCCTCACTCACTCACTCACTCACTCACTCACTCTCTCACTCACACACACACCTGGTGCTGCCGGGAGCCCTGTGGCGTGGGAAGCGCTGCTGCAGGGGGCACGGCAGTGCGGTCGAAACAAATGAGCATCACCCCCACGTTGGTGCCACACACCACGAGGTGTGGCTGTAGGCTGTGCGGCATCATGCAGTAGACCTGATGGGCAGTGAGGGATGGAGGGAGAAGGGGGAAGGGGGAAGGGGGGGGTGGAAGAGAGTGGGGAAATGGGGGGAGAAGAGGAAGGGTTTTTTCTTCTTTGAAAAAACAGTTTCTTTCTTCTTTCCTATTGACATATTCTACAGAATAGAGTAAGGAGAGGAGGAAGCAGATGAGCAGCACTCTCACAGTGATTCACTCAAACATCTTTTCATCTGCTTCTCATCCCACATGTAGTCATTCATTCCTACTTCTTTTCGCACATCCCGACTCGTTCGAAACAAATTCCATGCAAGACCCAGTCACTGCCATGAGCTTCTGGAGAGGTGTGTTTTGAGTCGACTTGAAACACCTTGAAACACACCTGCCTGTTATCACTTACCTAAAGCTGCCTGCCTGCCCCCACTCACCTTGAGCTTCTTCCCCGCTGCCTGCTGGGGAGTGGGGGGCGCGTGGGTGGAAAGGTCACAGATGGGCCTGCTTCCTCCTGATGCCTCCAGCGCCCTGAGGGCAGTGAAAGTGATGGGAGCAAATCAGGTGAGGAGGGGAAGAGGAGAGGGAGAGGGTGGGGGGCGCGTGGGTGGAAAGGTCACAGATGGGCCTGCTTCCTCCTGATGCCTCCAGCGCCCTGAAAGCGGGTGCAGGAGAGAATGGAGCAGCAAATTTGGGGGGAGCAGAGCAAAGTAGGGGGCGGGGGAGGTGGGGAAAAAGGAAAAGAGCAGGAGCTAAAGAACACCACCCACCCAGCTAAGGACATATTTTTTCTTACCTTTATCTCACTTGATCATTCTTTCCAGAGCATACCACCCACCACGCCACCCACGACACGCGCAAAAGCACGCCACCCACCACATGAGACAAAGCACGCCACCCACCAGATGTGCGAGTCCTTGGCGCAGGCGAGCACCTCGACAGCTGGCACGCGTGGGTGGCGCCAGCTGGCAATGGTATGGCAGACAGCCTTGGGAATGGCATGCTTCATCCGCCGCACCTCCTGCAGCAGGTAGATAACAAGGCAAGGCAAGGCAAGGCAAGGCTTGAGATGGTAGAGCAGAAGAGTGTAACAGGCGGCTTTGGGAATGGAGTGCTTCATCCGCCGCACCTCCTGAAGCGGTTAGAAACAAAAGGAGGAAGAGATAGCCACCCCCTGCTGTGTGGTTAGAAACAACAGGAGGAAGAGATAGCCACCCCCTGCTGTGTGGTTAGAAACAACAGGGCAAAGGAGGGGAAGGTGCAGAAAATAAATGGTGTGTGGAAGGCAGACGGCCTTGGGGACCGCGTGCTTTACACCGCATCACACCGCACCGCATCACGCCGCACCACCGCACTGCACACTAGCCAAGAACGCACCCGGAACATAGTAGTATCCCAGAATGACACTGCCTTGTCAGCACCGCATGTCACAAGGTGCGGGGCAGCGCCGTGAATGCGAGCCAGGCTGATCCCCACCACGCCCCCGTCGTGCGCCTTGGGGAGAGTGATCTTGGGCGCCACTTCCTTTGCTGCGCTTGCTGGGGAGTCCGCCCCCCACATCACCAGCGTCCCGTCCGCTCCTCCAGATGCCAGCATCATCTGGGGGGGGAGTGAGGTTTGGGATGGGAGCACAGGGGAGGCAGAGAGAGAGCGAGAGAGCAAGGAAGCGGTTTGGTAGGAAAGGTAGAGCAAGGCTGATGGCCACGACTCCCCCGTCGTGCGCCTTGGGGAGAGTGATCTTGGGCGCCACTTCCTTTGCTGCGCTTGCTTGGGAATCCGCCCCCCACATCACTAGAGTCCCGTCTGCTCCCCCTGATGAAAGCAGCATCTGAGGAGAGAGAAGGATGAAAGAAAAGGGAGGGCAGAAAGCAGGGGATGGGAGAGCAGAGGCATGGGAGAGAGCGCAAGGAGGTGAGTACGAGAGGTACTGGAAGGAGTGAGCTTGGGTGCTACACCACGCAGGGAGTAGTCCGCGATGCTGCAGGGTATTTTTGAGAATTCTCAAAAATACCCTGCAGCGCAAGGAGGTGAGTATGAGAGGTACTGAGGGGAGCGAGCTTGGACGCTACGCCACGCGGGGAGAGTCCGCCCTGGTGGCACCCTCCCTTGCTGCGCTTTCCTGAGAGTCCATGCATCAGAACACATGAGCAGCACCCCTGATAGTTGGAGTGGGAGCCAAGGGAGGGTGGGCAGGCGAGAGAGAGAAGATCCGTGTGTGTGGGCCCCACTTGCCCGCCCATGTGCTGCCCTGCTCCCTTCCCTTACCACGCTCACCTCCCATTTGCACTCACCTCCCATTTGCACTCACCTCCCATTTGCACTCACCTCCCATTTGCACTCACCTCCCATTTGCACTCACCTCCCCATTGCCAGCCATGAAGGGCAGCAGGCAGTGCACTGCTCCCTTGTGCCCTCCTGTGAACTTGCGCGATATCTGGCAAGAACGCGTATGCAGAGAGGGAGAGAGAGACGCAGAGAGGGGCAGAGAGAGGAGGGGGCACAGGGGAAGGCAGAGGTGGGCGCAGAGAGGAAGACAGAGGGGAGGCAGAGGTAGACAGAGGGGAGGCAGAGGTAGACAGAGGGGAGGCAGAGGTAGACAGAGGGGAGGCAGAGGTAGACAGAGGGGAGGCAGAGGTAGACAGAGGGGAGGCAGAGGTAGACAGAGGGGAGGCAGAGGTAGACAGAGGGGAGGCAGAGGTAGACAGAGGGGAGGCAGAGGTAGACAGAGGGGAGGCAGAGGTAGACAGAGGGGAGGCAGAGGTAGACAGAGGGGAGGCAGAGGTAGACAGAGGGGAGGCAGAGGTAGACAGAGGGGAGGCAGAGGTAGACAGAGGGGAGGCAGAGGTAGACAGAGGGGAGGCAGAGGTAGACAGAGGGGAGGCAGAGGTAGACAGAGGGGAGGCAGAGGTAGACAGAGGGGAGGCAGAGGTAGACAGAGGGGAGGCAGAGGTAGACAGAGGGGAGGCAGAGGTAGACAGAGGGGAGGCAGAGGTAGACAGAGGGGAGGCAGAGGTAGACAGAGGGGAGGCAGAGGTAGACAGAGGGGAGGCAGAGGTAGACAGAGGGGAGGCAGAGGTAGACAGAGGGGAGGCAGAGGTAGACAGAGGGGAGGCAGAGGTAGACAGAGGGGAGGCAGAGGTAGACAGAGGGGAGGCAGAGGTAGACAGAGGGGAGGCAGAGGTAGACAGAGGGGAGGCAGAGGTAGACAGAGGGGAGGCAGAGGTAGACAGAGGGGAGGCAGAGGTAGACAGAGGGGAGGCAGAGGTAGACAGAGGGGAGGCAGAGGTAGACAGAGGGGAGGCAGAGGTAGACAGAGGGGAGGCAGAGGTAGACAGAGGGGAGGCAGAGGTAGACAGAGGGGAGGCAGAGGTAGACAGAGGGGAGGCAGAGGTAGACAGAGGGGAGGCAGAGGTAGACAGAGGGGAGGCAGAGGTAGACAGAGGGGAGGCAGAGGTAGACAGAGGGGAGGCAGAGGTAGACAGAGGGGAGGCAGAGGTAGACAGAGGGGAGGCAGAGGTAGACAGAGGGGAGGCAGAGGTAGACAGAGGGGAGGCAGAGGTAGAAGCATGAAGAGAGGCAGGCAGACGGGCAGACAGAGGGGCAGACGGAGGGGTACACGGTAGACCATTACCCGGACAGTCAGACACACAGTCAGGCTGCAAGAAAGGCAAGTCTTAGTCTGTGTGACAAGGCTGTTCCTGCCTGCTGCACACTCACCTGCCAGAACGATCACTCACCTGCTGCCAGCCTGCCTGCCTGCACGCTCACCTGCCTTCTGCACGCTCTCACTCATTCACTCACCTGCCAGGTCGCGAGGGAGAGCACGCGAATGGCTCCATCGGGCCCTCCAAAGCACGCAAAGGGACCGTCACCCAGTGCAATGGAGCGAGGTAGGAACTCCACACTGGGATAGTCAAAGGGGGTGGGAAAAAGAGAATAGGGGTGGATGGGCGGTGGGGAGGAAGGGGGGGAACAGGAAGGAGAAACAGAGAACAGCATCAGTTGATGATTTTACAGGCATCACACGATTGAATTGTTCACGGCTCTCCATACGGGAAGAGCACCATTAGGCCCTCCGAAGCAGCCAAAGGGACCGTCACCCAACGCACTGGAGCGGGGTAGGAACTCCACACTGGCGGGGAAAGCGGAAGGGGGAGGGGTAGGGAGAGGAGTGGAAGGGGAAGGGGGGGAAATGAGAATGAAGGGGGGCATGAAGGGGGAAGGAACAGAGAGCGGCATCAGATAGAAAATGGTTCTACCAAGTTCATGGTGTCACACAAACATAGAAAGTCCTCTCACCTCAGGGTTCTTAGAAGGATGCTCAGAACAACACATCGCCTACGAGCTCACCAAAGCGGAGAGCGGTTGTCCAGCAGCAGTTTGGGAATGTCCTTTGTCCTCATCGTCACAAGGTCGGCAACGATCGCCTTGTTGTCGCAGCATACAAACAAGAACCGCCGCCCGCGCACCGCGGACGGGGCAGCGCCGATGGGCGGCACGAGGAGGCCGGCAGATGTGACGGTGGGGGATTCGGCCACTGCCGCCCGGGCAATCGCTCCTGTCCAGAAGCGAACATCGTCGTCGTAAAACTTCACGTCCTTCACTCTGGGGAAGTGAGGGAGCAGGGAGCAGGGGAATAGGGAAAAGGGTAGAGCATGGTAAGGTCAACAGAAATTGGGAGATTCGGCCACTGCTGCTGACAACACTGCCGCCCAGGCAATGGCTCCGGTCCAGAAGCGAACATCATCATCATAAAACTTGACATCCTTCACTCTGGGGAGAACAAATAAAACAGGGAGACAGGGGCAGGGGAAATGCGGGGTGAGAGATTCTGCTATTGCTGCCCGCGCCACTGCACGCCCGTGCAATGGCTCCTGTCCAGAAGCGAACATGGTCATCATCTTAGAACTTGACGTCCTTCACTCTGGGAGGGGGTGGGAATAGGGAATCGATGGCGCAAGGGAAGCAACGGGGCGGAGCAGAACCAGTTCAGCTGCAGCAGACGAATGAACACTCCAGCCACGAAGGGAGTGCACCGAACAGAGCTTAGGAGGTCAGGTCTTGGGATTAGGAGGCCAGAGCTTGAGAGGTCAGAGTTTAGGAGGCCAGAGCTTGAGAGGTCAGAGTTTAGGAGGCCAGAGCTTGAGAGGTCAGAGTTTAGGAGGCCAGAGCTTGAGAGGTCAGAGTTTAGGAGGCCAGAGCTTGAGAGGTCAGAGTTTAGGAGGCCAGAGTGTAGAAGGTCGGAGATTTTAAGAAATTTCACAAGAGAAGAGAGATGAAAAGTAGACTCACCCTCCTCCTCGAATGGCCTCGGCTCCCACTGCTGACGATCGTGTCTTGGCATCTGCAGGCAAGGAAAACGCACGGCAAAACAGCAAGAAGAAAGAATTGTCTGGCACTTGCTCACACGCTTGCCCGCAATCTGGTTCGGAATGTGTGGTCAGCGCTAGCTTCCCTGAGCACTTGCGTGCTATAATGGTCACACTGAGAAAAGAGGGACCCAGGCTGCAAAGGCACCGATCTCGCTCCTCCCCATCATCCTACTCTTCTACTCCCCACCCAACAAGCAACAGCACTCTGATCTGAGGGCACCCGAAGATAAAATCCACTCACGCTCCTCCCCATCGGCGATGCGTTGCAGCTGAGCGTCCACCAGGCGCCGCTCGTCCACCCCACCCGCGTTCACCTCGTACAGCACCTGCCGGGGTAACGGGTGCATCATCAGTGTCAATACAACTAGATTTCCGTTATGGATTCACCTCATTTAAGACGTCTCGAAAGTCGTACAGAACCTGCCGGGGGTCACCAGTGCCATCATCAGTGTCATTACAATTACATTGCCGTTAAAAATTCACCTCATGCAGCACCTGCCGGGATCACCAGTGCATGCGTAACATCAGTGCCATGTAAAATCAATCGCCATCATTTATTCACCTTGTACAGCACCTTCCGGGGCCATCGGTGCCACCAGTGCCATTGATATTGGAATCCTTACATTAACTCACTTAGGCGGCACCTGTCGGGCCCATTAGTACCGTCAGTGCCACCAGTGCCATCGGGACGACCACAGCAGCATGGGGTGCACGTCCATGTGATACATCCCTAAGTTACCCTCATTACACGGGGTAAAGAACACACCTGGCGGTGTTCCCAGTCCCACACGACGACGTTATCGTGGCCGTCCGATGAGACGATCCACGGCAGCGTGGGGTGCACGTCCACGTGATACACTTTCTCGGCGGTCGGCCGGAAGGCCTGTAGCGAAATCGCGGACATGACGATACCGCGGATATGTGAAACGAAGGAGATGCGATGCGAACGTCTAAAGAGCCGTCAGGGGATACTAGAACGCGTAAGCAGTCACGAGCGGAGGCAGGAAGCGTGAATAGCGGCGCAACTCGCGCGATAGCACCCCGCGCTTAGAGGCGCTCTCGCTATCACTGCCAAGTTATCCCTATTGCTGCGAAACACTCTACTAGAGCCTCATCACGCCAGCTCACTCGAGAGCCTTATGCTGCGAAGTATAATGAGGTAGCGTAAGCTCGCCGCCTGCCGCTATCGTCGTAAACTTCCTAATTCGCCTTACGGAAGTCTTTAGAACATGCGGTTCGCGGGACCGCCTGTTCGCGGGACCTCGATGTACAGATCCCAGCATGAATAAAGCCAATGCCTTGCATCAAAATTTGAAGCATGGCATCTAAATTCTAGGTTTGACCCCACGGTGTGAACTCTTCTGTGCCTCGCAAGCCGGGGCGAATTTTCATGGTTCGTGTCCAGCAAACATTGAGAATTCAACTTCGTTGCGCAACAAAGACGGTTCTCGGCATTCTCGAGGCTATTCGACGATCGACCGGAATCTTTGAAATCAGCTTCAGCCGGAATTTTCGTTCTCGTGTGCCACGACCCGCACTTTGAACGTGTTCGGTTATATCCGGCTCCATTCCGGCAACAAACTTGTACGAACGACACGATACACTGGTTTCCTCTTCGTTAACGTTACTCCCTGACCTGGGGATCACCCTAAGCACACCAAGCGTCCTTGGGCTCCGTCCTGTTTCTTGCGCCAAAGCAATACCAAGTCAATCACTTCAAGTGTACCATACGGAAAATTATTCTCTGCTTCATCCTTACCGCCTTGGAAGCGCCATAATCGGCGGATTTATGGCTGGATGCGCAGATTTTAACCAGCCGCAATACCATAGTCGGCCAAACCTTGGCGTCGTCGTCGGGCCCCTTCGATTGTAGTCGTAGCACTACTGCTACTAATACGGCGAATGCTTTGAGACAGCTTAGGGACGCTATTAGGGCGGATGCCACGACCGAAACCTGTCGGCTAACGGTATGCGTCGCGTTCATGTATGCAGTTGTATTATAGGGCGAATGCCGCCAACGAGTAACGTATAAACTGAAAAGGGCTCCACAATTTATCTCCTCGCACGGTTGTATCCGAAGCCAGGGTCAGTTGAACCAGCAGCTACACGAATAATGAGTGGGTAGCACAGTTTCGCAGTATCACAGCAAGCACACAAACTGGTGTCTCAGATTCCTGACACTGACTCCTGACACAGACTAGCGAGTATCACATAGTCTCTAGAGGCGGGGTGTCGACTCCGTGTGTACATAGCAGGGTCAGTCTACTGAGTATGCTTCTTCAAGCTTGATTGATGGGGATGTATGTAGGCATGGATGTAGGAATATTGGATTAACTTGAAGTTTTTTCAGAAGCAAAACAATATCTATTGCTTCTAAATCCGAGGCGCCTTTGCGGACCATCTAGAGATCTCAAGCGGGATCGTCGACGAGCGTCGCCACACCAAACGGTAAAAACTCAGTAGGCGGGAACATCGATTACCAGTGAACATATCTTGGTGTCACTTGTAGTCATCTTTGAGAGGAGAATTCTCAGGAGAAGGCAGGCAGGCAACATGCCTATCCTCGCAACCGCATCGGGCCTCCCCTCGGCCTTCACCACCCTCCCCATCCCACCCTCACCGCGCCTCCCCTCTCACACTCATCTTCCGTTCACTCCCTCTCGCTGCACCCTGCCGTTCCTTCCCCTTCGCTCCCTCCAATCCGCTTTCCTTCCATTCACTTTTTTAGCTTCCCTTCCCTTCGCAGATGGATCCTTTGTTACCTGGTAACCATGGGACTTCTAACTTCAGTGTACCTATGGCGTCGCGAAATGGATCCCCAGGACGCAGCATGGGTGTAGCTTCTCAAGGCTTATACACAGTGAGCTCTCAGAGCTTATATGGAGGTTCTCCCACGAATCCGGGTTCCACGTGGTTTGCTGGTTCCCCTGTACATGCTGCTGCTGGCGGTGGTTATGGTGGTGCTGCCGGTGGTTCTTCTGCCAGTGCTGCTGGTGGTGCTGCTGGTGGGAATGCTATTGGCGATGGTGCTGCTAGTGACGCTACTGCTGCTACCACTGCTACAGCTACCACCACTGCTACAGCTGGTGCTGCTGCTGCTCCGTGTGCGCTGGGCAGCCGCAAGCGGGGGAGAGTGTTTGCAGAGGATGAGCTGGTGCTGGATAACTTCTTCAGCAGCAAACGGTACATGAGCGCGGTGGGTGGGTCACATACATGCATGCATTAACTCACATGCACATGTCAACCAACTCACACGGACTCTCCACCCCTTCGCTTTCTCTTCCTTTTCACTCCTCGCCCCGTCTTCCCCAGCTGATCGCCAAGAGCCTCACCAACCTGCGGGTGGAGGACACTCACATGCACACTCCACCCTGTGAACATCCTCACCACTCCCTCCCTTTTTCTTCCCTTTCCACTCCCTACCTTCCTTAACTGATCGCCAAGAGCCTCATCAACCTGCGAGTAGAGGGCACTCACATGCACACCCTAGCTTCAGTTCATGCCCACCCCGTCCGCTCTTCCCTCTTCCCTCGTCGCCTTGACTTGCTCCAGCTGATCGCCAAGAGTCTCACCAACTTGCGAGTGGAGGACACTCACATGGCTGGAGGAGCAGCAGGCGGGGGAACAGCAGCGGGCGGGGGAACAGCTGCAGGCAGCCCGGCAGGAGGAGGCAGAGCAGCAGCAGCAGCAGCAGCAGCTGCACTGGCAGCAGGGCGAGGAGGATCCATGGCATCTCCGCCTCCTGCTGCCACAGCATGGGCGGGAGCAGGAACAGGAGGGGCAGCAGCAGCAGCAGCAGCAGCAGCACGGCCACCATCACCAGCAGCGCTACAATTAGGGGCCTCTACCATTCGAATGGGTGTAACTGCAGGTGCAACAGGGTATCCCGGCCCACACACCAGCTCCTCCCCTGCTTCTGCTGTTTCAGGTGGTTTCTCAGGTGGTACACCAGGTGGACCAAGCACTTTCGTGGGGTTGCAAGTACCTTCTGAGGCTCTGTTGCCGTCTCCTGGGGCGACGGAGACCACTCAAACTGGCAGCGCTCGATCCGCGTCTCCCTTCGCCAGCCACAAGTAAGGATGCTGCTTGGTACAATCGTGATTCTTAGCATACGAATTAAAGTCATTTTTTTTAGGCGCCTCAAAAGCCACACAAACTGGCAGCGCTCGCTCCGCCTCTCCCTTTGCCAGCCATAAGTAAGCATGTGTTTGGAACCTTCGTATTTCATGTGCTGAAGGTCCTGATTTTTGCTGAGAAAAATATTTCCATTCATTGTGCGCATCAGTATTATGCCACTCTTCGAACTCGTTGATTTTCTTACGAGGTGATGAGTAAACCACCTGTGATTATTTTCCCCTTTTTGTGTTCTATCTTTGCTTTTGTGCTTATAGCGAGGGCATGTCCTCCCCAGCAGAGTCTCTATCAGAAGACAGCGAGGAGAGCGTTGGATGGAGGGCCGCAGCAGCAGCTGCAGCCGCTTGTGTCACCTCCCCCCTTTTTGTCACACCAGCGTCAGCGTCAAGGGCAGGAGCAGCAACAAGTGTAGCAGCGGCACCAGAAGCAGCAGCTACAGCAGGAGAAGCGAGGGCAGCAACACAAGGAGCAGCAGCAGCAACAGCAGCAGCTGGGCTCAATACACCCAACTCAGAACTCACCTTCTCAAATCGCCCTCCCCCAGCCAGCACCTCCCCCTCCCGTTCCCCCACGCTCACCTTCATCCCCCCATCAGCCCCATTTGTACACGGCAGTGGGGGTGAGAGGAACACCTCGCCAGCCTCTGACCGTCGTTATCGCTCCCCTAGCCCCCGTTCCTCTAGCCCTCGCTCCTCCCCTCGTGCTCCTTTCACTTATGCCATCAATAACAGTGTTACCAGCAACCATACCACCGGCAGTGGTCTTAATGGTGGTAATAGTCCCGCCTGTTTGCGGGCAGGACAAAGTTTTCCCGCGCCGCTGCCCGGGCGGGATCCGCCCGCAGCTGCTGGTATCTCCAACCTGGTTCGGGTCCCGCCGGGTTTTTTGGGCAGGGGTCCGGGCAGTATCATAACTCGGGCAGCGCAGGGAAGGTTTTTGCATGACCAGCTGGACGGGCGGCTTCCGACGTCTCCTAATGACCCAAGTACTGCCAAGAATCTGAGGCGGGCGGCGCTGCTGCGATCTCAGATGATTCGCACTCAGAGCTCGTCTGGTCTCAGTGACCCTGCTGCTGCCGCTGTTGCTGCTGTTTCTGGGGGAGGTGGTGCTGGTTGTGCTGGTGGTGGTGGTGCTGTTGCTGTGGGCTCAAATGTCCCTGGTGCTGGGGGTGGTGCTGCTGCTGCTGCTGCTGCTGCTGCTACTCTTCCTGCTCCTGCTGCTGCGGCTGATGTTGGTCCTATGCCTGATGCCGGAAGTGGAATGGTGGAGAACGGTACAGGATGGCATGCAGGGGTGACTGGTAGGGGTGGTTTGGAGGCGGCAAGAAGAGCAATGGTGGAGAGGGATGCAATGGAGGGGACAGAGAAGGTGGGGGAGAGGATGGAGGGAAGTAATGGGAATGGTCAGATGGGGTACGGTCGAATGGAGTTGGGGGAGTTTGGGCATCACACATGGGTGGACGGAGGTGCTGCTCTGCCTGGTTCCTTCCCACTGCAGCAGCAGCAACAAGGGCAGCAGTGGCATCAGTGGCAGGGGCAGCAGCAGCAGCAGCCACATCTAGGGCAGCAGCAGCAGCAGCAACAAGTGCAGCAGTTGCAGCAAGGGACGGCAGGCATCGAGTGCCGAAGAACCATGGAGGCGTTTGTAATGAGCCGAATATCACCGCCCAGCTCACCCACTTCGTCCGAGAGTGAGGAGCACGGGGGTTCGTCATGGGGTGTGGAGTGCAGTGGGGGTGGAGGGGAGGGGGAGGCCGTGCTTGCGAGGTCTTGCTCTTCCACCCGGTCAACCAATCCATTCGGCGGTCCCATAGATGAAATGTCTTAAAAGAGATGTCTACTGATTCCTGTGCTTGTGTTGTGAGGTCTTGTTCTTCCAGTGGAGGGGAGGAGGCAGTGCTTGCGAGGTCTTGCTGTTCCACCAGGTCAATCAATCCATTTGGGGGCCCTGTAGATGAAATGAGTTGATTTTCGAGTCAACGCAAATATCTTGTGCTTGCACTTGGTCAAGCAATCCATTCGAAGGTCCTGTACCTGTGGATGAATTGTGGAAAATATTCCCGTCCATTAGCTGCTATGTCCACTGATTCCAACAGCTCCTTTTCAGCTGAGTTTGGTACTGTGCGTCCCGTCTCTGGTCAACTCTAGTTTGAAGGGAATGAATGATGGTACATTTCTTGGGTTTTATTAGCAGCTAGGACCGCAGACGGAACCATGGTAAAGAGAGAATGACAAATAGTGGTAAAACGGCCAAAGCATGTTTGAGTTACCCCCCAGCCCACCAAATGCTGCGACAAACTAGAAAAAGGCACCCACACAAAGTGATTCCTTCCAACCTCCTTCCAGAAAGCAAACCTCATTCCTACCCTCATCTCCCTCCCACGCAAACTCTACAGCAAAAACACACGCACACAAGCCCATAAGCAAACGAGAACCCACAAACCCCACACTCAAAAGCGTGGATTGAAAGGGCCAATCGGGTTGGGGTTGGGCCCCTTCCCATGCAGGGCACCAGGGGGGTCGCCTACTGCTTGGGCGCCTTCTCCTTCGGCGGCAGGGGGCGCTTATTGGGGGGCGGAACAACCGCCGGCGGCTTCTCGAAGCCAGCAGGAGTCTTCGGCAGGGGGCGCTTATTGGGGAGCGGAACAACCGCCGGCGGCTTCCCGAAGCCAGCAGGAGCCTTCGGCACGCCCTC